CGTGAACACAGAAGAAGGACGCGTGGCCCACTGCTGTTTCTCAGGACCATGGGGTTCTGGCGACAGTCACCTTTGCCAGGAGCACTGGTTTGCAGTGAGTGCTGGGGCGGGAGGCCGGCTCCCCCGCTACTAGCAAACTCCAAGCATTCTCCCTACCTTCCTGGGCTTTGGTCATCTGAAGTGTAAAATTGGGAAGATGAGTTTTATCTTTGAGACCATCGGGGGGTTAGATGAGATAACATGACAACCTCGTACTTAGCTCTTGATATTCTGCAGCTCAAAAACCTTCCATGGCTCCCCATTGTATATCAGATAAAATCTAGACTCAACCCATCTCTCTAAATGAATCTCCCTACTCCCTGTAAAACCCACAATCACACCTAATACTGTCGACCTCTGTATCTTTTATTGTCGCCTTTTCCACAGCCACTACGTTTCTGATGAAGCAGAGGGCTCCAGGGAAGGCAGCCACGGGGCAGGCGGGGAGGCCGGGCCCACCCTGTGCAGCCAGGCGGGATAGTTGATTCAACCCCCGTTGTCTGTCAGGCGCCCACCCCCACGACCTCCTTTTACTTGCCAAATGTTTTCTTACTCTTCCTGGCTCACTTTAAGCACCCCCTTTGCCCTCCTTGGTTCATAGTCTGAACACCACAGAGACCATTATAGCCCTTGGCCATTTACCACCTGCTACTTTGTATTGTTGACGGTCTCGCATGTGTGTATCAGTATTCCCCTAAATAGAGGGAAAGCTCCTGGACCACAGAAACCAGGTCTGTGTGGCTGGGCATTTCCGACAGTGCCTAGCACACGCATAGTGTTTCCATGATTTACATCAGAGTTCCATACTTTGCGAGAAAACCGTGCGCATAGCACTGTTTTAAATAGTTGTTAGTAAAAGGGGTCATGGAATGACAGATTTTTCTTTCCACCCACAAAAGGAACGAGCTATGCTTAGCTCTTGAGGGTGCTGGGTTACTGATAAGATACACAAACTGATAGGTGTTAGAGCTACGTGTTTCAGTAATTCTCATGAAGCTATTGCTTTCTCTGTATCTGAGTGTGACTAAAATGGCCAGTGAACAGCCACTTCCTCTGGGTGTACTTCAAAGGCTCCTTCGACGTGTAGCTGACCAGCTGCTGTTACCAGGCCTGCCCCTGTGGCTTTGTGCTTGGCCGTTCATGGCTTTCTCCTGCTCTTCTTTCAATGTCTCATATCAAGTCTTCCCTCCCAACATCCTCTGAGCAAAGTCAACGGAAGCTAGTGTGTAAGTGTTCTAGTCCTGTATTCTCTTGATTGAACAGAGATTTCCTCAGGAACTGCGTTGTTCTAGACATTGTGGGGAGGATTAAAGAAAAAAAAAATACACCTCTCTATTTGTAAGTCAACATCTTTTGGGTTTAATAGGAAAATGTTCATTTCTAATTTTAGATAGAGAGAGGAAGGGAGAGAGAGAAACATCAATTTTGTTGTTTCACTTATTTATGCGTTCATTGGTTGCTTCCTATATATGCCCCAACTGGGGATTGAACCTACAACCCTGGCATAATCAGGACAATGTTCCAACCAGGTCAGTTGGTCAGTGGCAGGGCAACACCTTATGTTTTAAGAAGCCAACAGTTAACGAAATGTTGTCACATTGAGTCCTTTCCTTTTCATTCTTGGTAGCTAATATCACCTGCTTCATGCTGATTACTGTTAACTTGTATTTTTTAGAAGACATTTTCTATTTGACCACTTTTCCCCTAAGAAGTTCATTCACACACACACACACACACACACACACACACGCTGTGTTACGGGATTGAGAAGATCCATCCAGTTGAAGGGAACTACTGAAGGAGTTCATGGAGGAGGGAAAATTATTTCCCTACCCTTTTCTTGAAATGTATAGACAAGAAAAAGAGGTTCTTATTTTAATGAAATCAGACATCTTTAAAAGTATCTATGGGTCTTCAGAATCCTCTAGGAGACAAATTATTATTTCCATGTTATCTTTCTCATTGTTAACATTAGTTTCAGGAAGGTTAAATTATGTTACTGAGCTGTTTCTAGGTCCTATATGTATACTGTAATGGCAGAGTAAGCCATTTACTCTGACTTCTAACAGTGATCCAGACTTCTACCATATAACTTGTATAACGAAAATGTGTGGTGTATTTATATCCATTTTATTAAAATGTGAGGTAGGGCAGGAGAGGAGAGAAGCGCCGCGCTGGGTTCCATATCCAGCTCCAATATGAAGTTGCTGGGTGACCTTCCGCTTGCCCCTTCACTTCTCCAAGCGCCTCCCAAGGACGTCCAATCAGCGGAGGACTCTCTCAGGTCTAGTGTTTGCTCACTCTCTGCTTGACTTGCTTCCTTGCTCCTCAGAGAGCCAAGACTGTTTAGGAAATAAGATAAAAGACCACAAAGCTCTTTCTTAAACAACTGCCTAAAATGACTGATGAGTCTTCTGGGGGCCTGGGGCAGGGAGAGATCAACGAGTGCGGGGACCAGGGAGGCGAGGGCTTCCCCAGGGAGAGAGTCGAGCTGGGCCCAGAGGTTGGAGGAGAGGGGTTTCATGGTTTGTCTTGAAATTTTTCTGTCTCATCAGTCTGATCTCAAATCAGAAATCAGCTCTGATAGTAAAGGTCAAGAATATTTTAATACCGTGCTGTTTGGATAGAAATCTGATGAATAGACATTCTGAACTGATGCCAAACCACAAGAAAGCCCCAGTTCTGTGACACGGCCCATTTGTGGAACTGAATTCGCTCCCAGCCCCTTCAGAGGACCAGCTTTGCTTTGATAAGCTTAGGTTTTCTATCGTTATTTATTCCAGGGCCACTTTGTTTTTCCCTGCAGAGATTCTTGGGATATTTTCTACTTAATAATAGAGCCATGTCATTAAGATTCCTTGCAACATTGCTTCTATTCAGTTGGAGGCCTGGTCTGCTAAAACTTGACAGCCTGTCGTGTGCCGTGTCATAGTGCAGTTCAGCATGTGGTTTCTACCTTGTTTTGAAGGCTGTCTTTTTGTTTACTGTCACGCAGACCCTCACCGCCGGAGGAACAGCAGTGACAGCAGCGGATGCTCCTCATGGACTCTGCTGTGGCACTGGTGGCCTTACAGAGTCTGTGTTGGCAGACCCCGTCTTCCTCTTGATTTTAATAACTTTCTCAATGTTAATTTTTTTACTCAGTAGGAAAATTTAGAAAATGGAAAATCTCATCAAAGAGAAAATAACAGTGATCCAGACTTCAACATGCAGAGTTACTCACTCTTCACACGTTGGTTTATTTGCAGTCTATGCTTTTATCTTTCTTGTGTACTTCAATAATTTTTACTGTAAAAATGTAGTGTTTCTCCATTAACAAGCTGAGGCCTAGGTATTAGGTTTCTGTCTATTAACCTTGGGCAAGGTATTAATCAGGCTCTACTGCAATGCTGGATAACAAACAACCCCCCAAACTCAGTGGCTTGTAACAGTGACATTTAATTCTTACTTTGGTGTGTGGGCTGGCTGCAGTTTGAGCTTGGCTGGCTCAGCTGAACTAGGGTGGAGTTCAGGCTTCGTGTCTGGTCCACACATCACCATTTTAGGGCTTTGGCTGAAGGGACAACAACTACCTAGGGCATGCTTTTCTTTTGGCAGAGGGTGGCTGGTGGAAACTTGCCATACAGCCGAAGACCTTAGCTTAAAATCGGGGCATTGCCATTTCACCCTCATTCTGTTGATTAAATCAAGTCACTTTGGCCAAGCCTAATGTCAGTAAGGTGAAAAGGTGGGGGCATGGTGTATTGGTTTGGGTTTGCTAAAGCTGCTGTAACAAATACCACAGCTGGGTGGCTTGAACAACAGAAGTTTATTGGGTCATAGGTCTGGACGCTAGGAGTCTAAGGTCAAGGTGTCAGCAAGATTGGTATCTTTTGAGCCCTCTCTGTCTTTGGCTTGTAGGCAGCAGTCTTCTTCCTGTGTCCACAGGCTCTTTCCTTTGTGCTGATTTGTTCTGATATCCTCGTCTTAAAGGACATTAGTCATATTGGATTACAATCCTCACCTCATTTAACCTCACGTTTCTCTTTAAAGAATCTATTTCCAAATATAATCTCATTCTGAGGTTAGGACTTCAATATGCAAATTTTGGTGTGTGTGAGGGGGCACACGATTCAGCTTATAACACATGATGAAGGTGGAAAACAAAGGGAGGATTGTAGACAAAGAACACCCCAGGCACTTCAAGTGAGGCTCAGCTTTCTCATCTAAACAGGGGTAAGCATCTCTGTGTTATGGGTTTGTTGGGGATTGAATGAGAAAATGCAATTAAAGACCCTAGCGTGGAGGTGTAGGGATGGTTGTAATTCTCCCTCAAGTTGAATTAAAGCTAGCCTTCTCGGGCCACTTTCATTGTTCTTGTCCTCTGTGGGCAAGTTGGGAGTGCCAGGTGCTTCTCAGAATGGTCCCAACTTCCACAGCAGCTGTATGATCATGGAGTCTTTGTAGCAAAGCCAATGGTTACTCTTGGGTACGTTCTTAAACTTAAGCTAGTGTTAATTAATTAGAAAGAGAAATTGCTTCTCTGTCCACAGCAGCTTTGTTGTATACCCATTTCACATTGTTGTCTGGGTTGTAATTCATACTTTTGATAGCATTTCCAATGTGTAAAATTGGTTGTCTTGTAAATATCTTTTATGAAGAGTTCAATTATAAATAAACTACTGTAGCTGTTGAAAAAAAAAATCTGTGGCCTTAGTAACATCATGTTTTCATCCATGAGCTATGGCTCCAGCCTCCTTCCTTTACCACAAATATTTATGAAGACCTTTTGTGTCTTAACAGAGCTGTGAGCTTCAGGTTGGCATAAGGCATGGCCCTCTTCTCCCCAGACTGCACCGAATACCTGTGGAAAAAAATGAGCAATTCAGGGGGTCAGAGCAGGGTGTGTCCCTCTCTCTGCCTCTGTGTTCAAAGCCAGCAGCCTTACACTTTTTCAACCTCCTTTTGGTCTTCTCCCCTAGAATATTGTGCTAAGGAATGGTTCCGAGACCTTTGACTCCTGGAAGAAGCCCCCTCTGCCCGTGTACTCCCAGTTCTATTTCTTCAATGTCACCAACCCAGAGGAGATCCTCAGAGGGGAGATCCCTCGGTTAGAAGAAGTGGGGCCATATACCTACAGGTGAGTCCTGACCGCCTCCCTGCCTCCCTGCCGCAGTGGAAAGATGCAGTTCCTCCCCATCACCCCCCCCCCTCCAGAGGTGGACTGAGTCCTCCGCTTTTCCCAGGAACACCCCCTGGGTGCTGCATGGGGAACGCAGCTTTGATTACATCCGGGTGAGAAGGGCTTTGTGGCCTGGAGCTGAGTTTCAGCCTGTTACATTTATTTCTTATTTTATTATTCTTTAAAAAGATTTTAGTTATTTTTAGAGAGAAAGGAAGGGAGGGAGAAGGAGAGGGAGAGAAACATCAACTGGTTGCCTCTCTCACGTGCCCGAACCCGGGGACCTGGCTGAGGAAGCAGCCTGTTATGCTCAGAAATGCAGCTGCTTCTTCCTGAGTTGGTAGTGTGTGGTTATGGAGCCGTGAAGAGTGCCTTCTCTCCCCGATCCCTTTTAAGGATGCTCTGTGATTTTCTTTGGTGACTTCAAGAGCCTTCCTCAGTTTCCCTCCCCCACTTGTTTTAGACCAGTTCCTAAAATTCGTTACTGGTCTGCAGAAAGGCCTTCTAGTCTAATATTTGCTTCTTTCCCCACTCTCCTCCGTGCGGAAGACAAACAGTGGCCGTGTAGGTAAGTCTTGGGCAGTGACTACCAAGTCCAAATGCTGGGGAGTTAGAAGAATTGCTTTAGTAGTTTTTTCAAAGATCGTTAGAGGGAGGCGCTTGGGGATCTTATGGTTATGGCGCCCTCCCCGCTGTAGTATCCCTCCTCTCCCTCTGACAGGAGCCCCTCCCCTCACCCACCCCCACAGTAATCTTTACTGTAAAGTGTCTCCTTACCAAGTTTAAAAAAAAATGGTAGAGGGAAGCAGACAACAAGATCTTTCTTCTCCTGCTAAACTGTAAAAATTTCCCACAATCCTGTTGTAGTTGATTGCTCAATACATTGTTTTCTGACTGATTCACTTTGTAGGTATGAGTCAGTAGGATTCTCATTTGCTGGAACCTAGAGATAAAAATCCTGGTTTCTGCCTCAGGTAAAATTGCCCATTTTGAATCTTGACTTTGCTCTTTACTAGTTCTTTGGGCCTGGTCTTCCTTATCTATAAAGTAGAGATAAAAATAGGACCTGCATCACAGGATTGTTAGGATTAAATGAGACAATGAGTCAGTATTATAAAGTGCTTAGACTAGTGTAAGCCCATAATTAGTGTAATTGTTTGTTATTATCATTAGTCTTAGTGGATTGTCTTAGTTCTGTAAATCAATATACAGAATTGTAAAGATGAGTTCTGTGGTTACATAAAAGAATTTTTAAAAACCACTTAGGTCTTCGTTTTGAAAAGCATTTTTTTATTTTAATTTCTTTTCTTATGCCTAAAGAAACTCTATGTATAGCCCTGGCTGGCGCGGCTCAGTGGATTGAGCCCTGGGCTTCGAACCAAAGGGCCACAGGTTTGATTCCCAGTCAGGGCACATGCCTGTGTTGTGGGACAGGTCCCCAGTAGAGGGTGTGCGAGAAGCAACCACACATTGAGGTTTCTCTCCTTTTCTTCCTCACCGTCTGAAAATAAAATAAATAAATAAATATATAAAATCTTAAAAAAAAACAAAAGAAAGAAAGAAAGAAACCATGTACAGGGTAGAGCAGGTCTGTTCCACTCAGGAACAATAGAAATTGAACTAGGATCTGAGTGTCCTATTTGTTGGTTTTGCAATTTTAACCAATTTTTTAATTGTGATAAAAATTAATAGCATAAAATGTACCATCTTAACCATTCTTAAGTGTATAGTTCAAATGTTAGTTACAGTCACATTGTTGTGAAACAGAGATCCAGAACTTTTCCATCTTGCAGATCTGAAATTCTACACCATTAAATTGTTGCTGGTGGACGTGGGGTTCTTGCAGTACGGTAAAAGAAAGCATTTTCAGGGACCCACAAAAGAGGATGCGGTCTGGTGGTAAGATATATTCAGGAAGCTAAGTCAAAAGGATGACCCTCCAATCAATCAATCAATAAAAGGATGCTGCTCCAGTGCCCCATCTCTGTCCGTCCAGTCATGGAAAATCAGGGCCAGAAATAGAGTCAGTGTCCAGAGATCCTATGCCATATTAAAGCTTCATCCAGCGCAGCATCCAGCTGATTTAGCATGTGTTTCTAGCAGCAGCCTGATGCAGGGCTGAGGTATACAGGCTCCTACCTGGAGCCTGCATGTGGAGCCCACGCGGCCATCAGCCACGCGGCCATGGAGAGAGGATGCGTGGGTGCATGGGGTAAATGCAAATCACAAGCAAGAGTGGGAGAGAGAGCTTCTTTTTTCCCATTGGGACTATAACCAGCAGCTTTTTTCAAAATAGCCAATCAACTTCCCAACCTTTCGTGGGCTTTTTGTGGGTCCACTCTGTAGTTAGACTGACAGGCCTCTGTGGTCCAGCACCTACTGCAGCGTACCCCTAACAATGTGGTGCTGAAGTGGGGAGGGGGGAGTGTTAACCCCCTTGGAGGAACAATGTTGAGATTCCCCCTGTGGTGTGTGAAGCTGTAGCTTCCTGGTGAAGCAAACAGGCTCGTGCTCCCTAGTTTATTAAGCTCAATGTCTAATTCCCTTTGCTCTCTTCTTATTAATAACTATTTAACTACCTACAGTAACAAAAACACTCCCCCTTTCCACCTCCCCCAGCCCCTAGGGGCCACGGCTATAGATTCCTTATGTAAGTGCAATCATACATGTTTTTTTGCTGTTTTTGTTTTTTTAACTACGTTTCTTTGGATGACTGAGAACTAAAGAACAACCTTCAGAGTTTTCCCTCTGGGTCTCCTGGACCTGTTCCTTTGGTCATAGCCCTCATCTTCTGAGAAAAAGACATGGGTTCTAATTATCATTCAGAGAGACCCAGCAGGCTTCCATTAAAACACAGGCCATTGTGTTCACTGGCTTAATGTGCCATTGCAGATGTGGCTATGGGAATAAATAAATCCCAGAAGTAAAACAATGTCCAACTCTTAGCATGCACCCTCTGCGTTTCCATTTTAGGGGGACTTAAACTTATTGGTGAGGCAAGCCCAGGCACACCTCACAGGGGCGCCCGACTCAGGGTCCATGGGTCCCTCAGGGGCCCCTGGATAGTATCCAAGGGGGTCTGTGACTTGGGTGGGAAGAAAAGTACATTTTATTTTCACAAAGCACTCATTAAAATTTAGCATTTTCTTTGAGTGTAAATGTAGGCAACAAACCACAGTGCTGTTTGCAGGTCCCGCGGCTTTGCCACTAATGGAAGCACAGATATTGTTGTGCCTCGTGATAGGTGTTGCTCAAAACGTTCACGTTCATGAATACCTCATAATTATAATAATTGTTAGACTCCTGCTCCATCTTATTTAAAATGTCAATAAAGATGCACACATGTTGCCGTATCACAGATTTCTAGATGATACCTGTGTTTCGGTCATTGCTTGCCTTTGCAGTCTTGGGGATTTTATTTTCTGTGAGAACAGGGATCTGAGCAACGGTCCATAGGCTTTACCACACGTGGGGGCCAGGGCACAGGGAAGCTTCAGAGCAGATCCAGGAGGTTGGAGGCAGGTTGGTCACTCTTGACCGTTTCACTTTTGCCTGCAGTTTTCCTGCCTCGAGTTTTTCTCCCTGTTCTGGTCTCTCTTCCATTCCCCTGCCAGAGTGATTTCCAAAGGAAACTCCTGACATTTCCTTCCCCTCCCTGCCCAGGGCCCTGGGGACTCCCTGTGTGATGGCCAGGGCCTGAGCAGTCTGGCTCCTTCTGTTTACCCGGCCCCTTTATTTTATTATTTATTGCAATAATTTTATTTTTTTGTCACGTGCAACCTGGAATTTTATGCTCTAACCAAAACTATTCCACAGAAATTTAACATTTGCCACATATATAACTGAACATTTTCTAGTAGCCACACTTAAAAAAGTAAAAAGAAGCAGGAGAAATTAATTTTGATATTTTATTTACCCCGATACCATCCAAAATAGTATCATTTCAACATGTAATGTGAAAAAAAAAAGTCCTGTTCCCTTCAAAGGTTTGATATTCAAGTCTATTTTCTTAAAGTACTTTTTTTTTACATTTAATTTCTTAAGGATCTAATTGCCTCCTTGCAATTTAGCAAAGGTAGGAACTTTGTTTAAACTTTCAAATTCTGTCCCTGTTAGTCCTTTGATCCTTTACACATCTCTAAGCCAAGCCAAATAAAAATTTTAATATTAAAGAGAGAGAAAATTTAGAGATTCCATGGTTATTGTTTCCATTATTTCTTTCTTTCTTTCTCTCTTTCTTTCTTTCTTTCTGTCTTTCTTTCTTTCTTTTTTTCCTTTTGCCTTTTGTGACTGGCTTCTTGTATTCAGCATGATGTTTTCAAGGTTCATCTATGTTGTAGCATGCATCACTACTTCATTCCTTTGTTTTTAAATCTTCACCCAAGAACACTTGTTTTCTTTTTTTAAATATATTTTATTGATTATGCTATTACAGTTGTCCCATTTTTTTTTTTTTTTTTTTTTTGCCCCTTTATCCCCCTCTGTCCTGTATCCCCTTTCCCTCCGGCATTCCCCACCTTAGTTCATATCCATGGGTTGTGCAAATATATTCTTTGGCTTCTCCATTTCCTACACTATTCTTAACCTCCCCCTATTTTGTGCCTATCATTTATGCTTCTTATGCCCTGTACATTTTCTCCCACTCTCTCCTCTCCCCGTTCCTGCTGATAACCCTCCATGTGATCTCCATTTCTGTGATTCTGTTCCTGTTCTAGTTGTTGGTGAAGTTCCCATAAGACTCTCAGCTGATTTCTCAAAAGAAACCTTACAGGCAAGAAGGGGCTGGAAAGAAGTATTCGAAGTAATGACAGGCAAGGACGTACATCCAAGGTTACCCTATCCAGCAAAGCTACCATTTAGAATGGAAGGGCAGCCCCAGCTGGTGTGGCTCAGTGGATTGTGTGCTGGCCTATCAATCAAGGGGTCACCCGTTGATTCCCAGTCGAGTCATGTGCCTGGGTTGCAGGCCAGGTCCCCGGTGGGGGCGGGAAGCGGGGCTCACGAGAGGCAACCACACATTGATATTTTGCTCCCTCTGTTTCTCCCTCCCTTCCCCTCTCTCTAAAAATAAATAAATAAAATATTTTTTAAAAAAAGAATGGAGGGGTAGAAAAAGTGCTTCCCAGATAAGGTCAAGTTAAAGGAGTTCATCATCACCACGCCCTTATTGTATGAAACGTTAAAGGAACTTACCTAAGAAAAAGAAGATCAAAACTATGAACAGTAAAATGACAACAAACTCACAACTATCAAGAACTGAACCTAAAATACAAAAACAAAAACAATCCATTATTATATTTTCTTACTCAAAAAGTAAGAAAAATAGATAAAGATTTCCCCCCACCTTCCTGTCCTGTACAAAAGGTGGTGCCCAGGCACTTGTGAGTGTCCAATGCACATGGCAGTCCTGAGTGACTTGCCTGGCTGGGCCAGGGTAACGCTCCGAGGACAGATGACCGTGTCCATCTTCAGGAGTGAAGTTGTTCCTCAGTATCCTGCTTTGGGCGCTCAGTGTTCAGCCTCTCACTTAGTTGGCACGGCCGTGGTAATGGAAAACTAAATCCAGATGCTGCTCAGCTCCCTCCTGGTGGCCTGCTTCCCTTGCGCTGCCCTTTCATCCACCCTGTGATTTCACATCTCCGATGATCTGGGTGCTCCGTTGATCCCGCCTCGCCCTGAGCCTGCAGGCTGCTCTTTCTAAATCACCTCCACCATGTGTCATCCTCACCCATGACCAGTTTCCTCACGCCTTCACCTCCAAAACACATCCTGTGCTGTCATCCCGTGCTGCCTGCCCTGGAGGTCCCCCCGCCCCCAGCCTGGGGAAACCTGCTCCATCTAGAACCAACCCAGATATGTTCCTGCACGATGACGCCTTCCTCAGGACCCCCATTCCAGTGGCCGCGCCTCCCTCCGCTGGGTGTCCTGCCAGCACCTGGAGGTCAGCTTTGGAGCACTTTCCAGGTGTGAGGCAGTCATTTAGATGCAAGTCTCCCTGCTGTACCATGGATTCTTTCAGGATAGGAACACAGTGTTAACAGTTCTCCACTGAGAGAGCTTAGCACGTAATATTAGTAGCTAAACTCTTAGTATGTGCCAAATAGTGTTTTAGCTGGATGACATGCTTATGCGAATTTAATTCTCACAACAGTACAAGGAAGCTATGTTATTATCTCCACTTTACTGATGAGGAAACTGAGGCACAGAAGCAATGAGTATCTTACCCTTATTCACAGAGCTAGTAATGGATGAAGCCAGAACTGAATGCAAAATCTGGCAGTCAGATTTTAACCTGCACTTTACCCACTGTGCCCGGTCACTTCTGATAGCAATCTCAGCTAAGCATCAGATGAATGAAGAACTAAAAAGATGAAAGATAAGGATTATATTATAGTATTGTGCATGTTTACTTTATCCAAAATCTCTGCAATATTGAACAGATAGATGTTAATTTTCCAACTAATTAAAATTACTCCTTTTGATTTTCTTATCTCAGGCTATTCTTTGCCTTCTGTGACGGTGAGATTTTATTTAAGCATTCAGGAGTGTACATTTTTTTTCTTTTAAAAAATGATTTAAAATGAAATATCTCTAAAATCAATCAGGTATTTTCCTGCCTGATGAAATAGTTCATGGATCATAACTCAACTCTTTCTTAATGACTGGGGCCGCCATTGTGAGTAACAAATACTAAGTTATACTTTGAGCCTGTGACTTCCTGGGACCTTCAACATCGGTAGGATTTTTCAGCATCTACTAAGTACCAGGGACCATACCCGGCACTTTCAAGTACGGATCCTGAATCAATTATCTAGGCGTAAGATTTCCTTTGCCTTTAGGGGGAAAAAAAAAGTTTCTCTTTCTAGAAACTTCTTTGGTCTTGTCTGATACTGTAAAGCAGTGATTGATCGCTTCTTGCTCTCAGTCTGCTGTTCACCAGGAGGCTGCCCTGCTTCTAGCTGAACGCTGTTGACCAGCTATGGGGGAGATTTGGGTAACCAGACTTGCTGATGTTGTGGCATCCCTAGAGTTGCCAGAGGGACCGGGGCACTTGGAAGGAGAAGCGTTTTAGGTTTCCTCTGATTACAGGTCCCCCTGATGATATGGCTCTATGTTGTTCTGAGAGGGAGGCCTCTCGCCATCTCTCTCCTTGATTTTCTTGGCCTCTGCAGAGCGGGAGGCCATTTCTGACAGCCCAGTGGCACGGTCTTCCCTCAGTGACCGCTCTGCAAAGGCCACATGTCAGTCATGCCTCCAAGCGGCTGATGGTTGAGGGGAAGTCATGTGGTTGGCGCTGAGTGACCTGTCATGGCCCCTTGGTGCCTGCCAAGTGAGTTAAATATGTTAGTGGTTGGGGAAGCCAGGGCTTTGACTTGTTGAAATTTATTGAGAAACCCAGTCGAGTTACAAGGCTTAAAATGATTGGAGCCCCTCATGTTCAGTTTCCCTTTAAAACTTGAGCCATAAAAAAAGCCTTTTAAAAGTCATCTCCAAAGTCAGTACCCATAAATACACACAAGTGCTGCAGGGTCTAGGGTTGGAATTATTCAGGCCTCCAGGTTCATGCCCCAGGACTCAGTGAAAAATAAATGTTAAAAAAGCCTTAGCAAGGTCATCGGGTTTCGTCATTAATCAGAAAACTTGGCAGCGTCCATCCCTGGGTTTCTGGACTGACGTTGAATCCCAGCTCTTTGCTCCCTGGCCCGGCTTTCTTTGCGTGCCAAGAGCTCACCCTGGGGTCACTTTTCCTACTTCTAGTTCCTTAGTGGTCAGCTAGGCAAGCATGGGGTTCTGGGCACTGCTTCTAAACGGGTACACCTAGAAAAGGCTTTCCCTTCTCGCCTTGGCTGCAGGAGGCTCTGGAACGGAAGTGAGGAGGATCGCCCCTCTGCAGACACCAGCCTTGGCAGAGGCAGGGATATTTGCCTTTGAAATTTTCTCTTCTCCTCCAGTTTCTAACCCTTCTCTTTGCATTAACTTCTCTGTAGAGTCAAGGAAAACCTTGGACTTGAAGTCAGGGGACCAGGATTCTAAACCCTGCTCTGCCACCTCCTGGTTAGTCCTGGGCTAGTTACTTTATCTGAGTCTCCCTTTCCCATCTATAAAAAGACTGGGTGATGCTTTCTCTATGAGGGGGCTTTTGTTGCAAGCCAAAGAAGCTACCTCTGGCCAATTTAAATAAGAAGAAAATTTATTTGAAGGCTATAACGTGGGCTAAGCATCCCAATTTGCAGCCCAGAAGAAAGAGGCAGGGTCCGGGGCTGCTTCAAGGACCCGCATCTCCGGAGCAGTAGGACCCTCGCCTCGTGTGCGCCTCCTGGAGGAAACCGGTATTTCGACGCTCCCTTGGGCGCTCAAGAGGCAGAAGACCAGGGAGAAGAACTGGTCGAGGGGAGCCTGGGTCCCACACCGCTGCCCAGTGCAGGAGAGGAAAGGACATCAGGGCTCTGACCCAAAAGGAGGGGAGTGAATGTCTAACAAAGGAAAGGCCACCGCAGATACCCCCAACTGCAAGTTTCACAAGTGTTTTAACACAGTGGTGTCTAGCAGATTTTGTATGTATTCCTTGTGAATATATTTTGGGTCCAACCCCTAACCCACAAGGGAGTTCATTGGCTTTGATTCTCTGGTCAAGGTGATCCTTGACCCTTGTGTTTTCCAAATTGTGGGGGAAAAGAATGAAAACGACATTTTTTTTTAGAAGACTCTATCCTGAGCCTCATTTCCTTCTCACATTATAGTTTTAATCACTGGTCTTTACAAGGTCAGTGTTTGCACTCTCTCTTTCTAATGGTTAAATGGGCAATAGTATATTGAAAATAACCTTGATACTGAAAGAAGAGGAAAATATTGCTTTTTAAAGTAGTGAGTATTTTCAAACAAAATTCATTTCTTTCTTTTAGGGAAATCAGAAACAAAGCAGATATTCAGTTTGGAGATAATGGAACAACAATATCTGCTGTTAGCAACAAGGCCTATGTTTTTGTACGAGACCAATCCGTTGGAGACGCCAAAACTGATTTAATTAGAACAGTAAATATTCCTGCAGTGGTAAGTAAGCATTTTAAGTACCATTACTGTGGGTCTGAGAAGACAGGAAAAAAGCAAACTGAAGGTTATTAGGACTTTACATTTAGGAGCTAAGTTATGTTAAAAATATACATAAATAAAAAGAAAATAATATTTTCCCGTGCCCTTCTTTAAAGTTTATTTTAGATGTTTTCCTGAGGCCTTTCAAACAAGGTCTTTCCAAATGGTGACAAATGCAAATTTTAAGATTTTTTTTTTTTCACAATTTCTTGCTGAGTGTTCAGGATCAGCACTTGTGTAAATAAAAGTGTCTCTAGGATTTTTTTTTTTGAGTAGCTAATAATTTCAAAAGTATTTATTTGCCCCTTGTTTTGGTTGAGAAACTCTAGCAATAGAATTTACATACCACTTCCTAATTCAGATTTCTACCTTATATTTTTTTAATTCTCAAAATATATATTGACTGTCTCCATTCCAAATAGTAGAGACTGGGCTGTTGATTATAGCATAGGGCGATTTAATTGGGCTTTGATTATGGTGGCAATTCCATCTAGTAATAACACACTTGACACTCAGGAAATTTTTCTGTTCACCTACACCCACCCCCACTGAGGCTCCCATTCTAACTCCTAGTTGACCGCTCCATTTGCAGCTGGACACACATGGTGGATCCAGGACCTAGAAGACATTAGATCCCAGATCTGGCCCTGCCCTGGTACTGCCTAGTGGCGCAGTTTACCAGGGCCCCAGCCTCTGGGCTCTATCAGGAGGAAGATGGTGCCACCTTGTGGCCAAAGATGCCAATGTAATTACAGGAGTTGTTCCCCTTCTGCATTGCGAGGATACTAAGCTCACAGTTAAAAATTAATACTGAGAAAGGATAGTAACAGTAAAGAGTTTTATCTTATACATGCAGCCAGAGAGGAGCTCACTGGCCATTTTTTCAGCTTTAATCTCAACACTTCCAGCTCCCTTAGCTGAAGGCTCAGCGGGAGAATGGGGTGGGCACGCTGCTCTCTGAATTTGCCTGTGCTTTCCAGACCGCCATGGAATGGGCCCACCAGGGCTTCATCCAGATGCTCATCCAGGCGCTGTTAAAGGCGTACCAGCAGAACTTCTTTGTGACGCACACAGTCCACGATTTGCTCTGGGGCTACAGAGATGAGCTCTTGGCCCTCATCCACCCTTTCAGACCCGATATCTCTCCCTATTTTGGCTTGTACTATGGGGTAAGTGGATTTTTCTTTTCAAAGCCTCTGGGTTCATTTCAGGGGGCATCCTAAACCAGATTTCATCCTCGCTTTGGGTTTCTTCTAGGAGAAGACCAAAATTGCCTAGAATTCTCGATGTCTTGTACAGTTTGTGGAAAATAAGTCTTTTAATGTGTGTGTGTGGCGCAGGGCCGGCGGCGGGGGTGGGGGGCTTCTCCCACAAGATGCTGCCCTCACTGACTGAGAATGAGTGGAGCTATGAAAACGCATAGTGTGGCTGTGCCATTAATCGGGGCTATCATTCAAAGTATCATCCATTTTTGTGTTCAATGCCAAGTCTCATTTTGATGATTTGGGGACCACTGCATCTCTACAGGGCCCCATTAGTGAGAAGCCCTGTGCCATTGCTCAGTTAAATTAGTACCTTATTGGATTTCTTACATCCAGTGGGGGTGGGGGGGTAAAAACGAGATTTATTAGAATTGGGGGGCCTAGATTTGCATTTTTACTTCTTAATTTAGTAACTATGGGACTTTTCTGAACTACAGTTTCATCATTTCTAACTTGAGACTAGGAAGTACTCATACTTCAAAGCGTGTTTTGAAAAGGCTAAGTGAGAAATCCATTAAAATGATTTGCATACTATGAGTGAGTTGCAATACACATTTCAGGGACCATTATTCTCCCCTGCCCCCACCATGACTGGCTCAAAAAATGACCTTGATTGAATATGAATGACTGGTATGTGTTTTCATTTTGGAGCCAAATAAGTTCTCTGTAGTATTGTTGGGGGGGGGGGCGGGGAAATGGCAATGTTTTTGTTCAGTTTTTCATCTTCTTTAGCCAAATACTCTTTAGCCAGTAGCACAGAAGTTCACTCAGTGACCAGGGTAGGCTGTGAGGTTGTGCATCTTCACCGGCACCCACTGTTCTGCACCCGCCCAATCCCCACCTCAAATCTTTCCTTAATCCTAGAGGGTTCTGCCAAAATTCCTCTGGGGTACGCCAGGCCCGTATGCCTGTCCCACCGGCTCAGCCTTAGTGAACACTGTCAAACACTTTTCCTTTGAAGACTTAAATGACGAAACAGCCAAATAATGGGGAGGGACAGGGTGTGAGCATGAATAGGATGAGGTGAATTCACAGAGCTCCTGAGAAAAAGGGAACTGATCAAGTATCAGATAATCTTACTTGTATATTGCAAGGCCAATCAGCATATCTGTACCCACTGATTTCAGGGTGCCTCTGTTCTTCTTGATATAAGAGAGGTCAAGCACCCCCCACTGAGTGTGGGCTCTCTGATTTATAAAACTAGTTGTTGGAACATGTCTTTGACAAGTCAGCCAGTTTAGCCAGTTCTACCTGGAGGATGGATGTTGTTTGTGTTATGCCAGTGGTATGAATTTGTGGTCAGATCCTCAGAACGTTTCTCATACCTCCTGAGGTGATATGTCCCTTGTATCCAATTCACATCCCTGCCTCAATAATGTAAAACCTATTTATCACTGCTTGTCCTCAAATAAAAGTTCTAGCAAGAGACAGGGAAGCACCACATTGAGTGTCTGATTCTAGGGCAGATAACAGCTGGGGAGAACCCTCTTTGAGTTACTCTGAAACATTTAAATGCTTAACCACTTAGCCACATCTGAGTAAAGTGGAAGACTTCAAAAAGCAACATACATGCATTTTTAAAATTGGTGGTTCGGCCTTTTTTTATGTGATATATTTGAATTTTCAACCAAGCTATGTTCACACAGGGCTCTTAAAGAAGAGTCCTATCTCATTTCTGAAAGTCACATAAAATGTCATATGTGGAACATCACATGACTTTATTATGTATGTGGACCATGTTGACATATTGGCATAGTTGGCAAAATAATGTTAAGTACCAAAAAGAAGAGCCCAAGTAAGTAGGCAAAAAACACGAAAAGAGAATTCACAAAGGGTATCATGTTTTTTAAGGTATAACTGAATGATACGAAAAGGAGTTCAACCTCAGCAAACACAGAAATGCAAAAGGAGACAAGAAACCATTTCTTTTGTTCCACGAGTTAGCGAAATTTAACAAAAGTCATTTAGGAAATGTAAACTGATTTATCTTGCTATTTCCACCACTTTCCAGCTGGGTGACCTTGAGCAACTTGATAATATGTATCAAAAGGTTTAAAATGTTCATGTTCTTTTATCTAGTGATTTCTGGTTTAGTGGTCTGTTTAGAAAACGAAAGTACCAAAAAGGGTGTTAGGCATAAAGATATTGATACAAAATTATTTATAGTAGCAAAAAATTCCTCAAAACTAAATATCCAATAATAAGAGAATAGTTAAGTAAATTATTTTCACATAATGTTATGGAGTCATTAAATTATGTCTATCAACTTTTGTTTTATGCTTAAGTAAAAAAATTGTATATATAGATACACAATTTATATGTATGTACACAAAAATTATATATATACATACACAGTTGTATACGTGTATAAAAATTGTGTATATATTATATACATACATATTACCTATATGTTACATATAAATATATGTTAGTTCTATAACCATTTTAAGTGTACAATTTAGTCATTTTTAGTATGGCCACAGGTTTTGCAACCACCACCACTTCTTTTTTTAAAGATTTTATGTATTTATTTTTAGAGAGAGGGGAGGGAGGGAGAAAGAGGAAGAGAAATATCAGTGTGTGGATGCCTCTCAAGAGCCCCCTACTGAGGACCTGGCCTGCAACAGAGGCATGTGCCCAGACCAGGAATCCAACTGGCAACCCTTTGGTTCACAGGCTGGCACTCAATCCACTGAGCCATGCCAGCCAGGGCATAACTACCATCACTTTCCAATTCTAGGACATTTTCATCACCTTCCTCCCAAAAACCACATACCCATGAGTAGCCACTTCTGTCCCCCTCCTATGAGCCCCTTCAGGGATTTGCCTGTGAATCTAAGATTTTTAAAAAATATATTTTATTTATTTATTTTTAGAGGAAAGGTAAGGGAGGGAGAAAAACATTGGTGTGTGTAAGATCCATCAGTCAGTTGCCTCTCGCACATCCCAACGGGGCACCTGGCCCGCAACCCAGGCCTGTGCCCTGACTGGGAATCAAACTGACGACCTTTCAGTTTGCAGGCTGGCACTCAGTCCGCTGAGCCACACTGGCCGGGGCTGTAGGTTTTTTTAAAATAAGTTCAAAGGAAGCTATCTTTTTTTGGTTTCCTTTTTTGCTTTTGTAAAGACAAATAAACTTGTGTTTTTTGGGGGGAAAAATGGGACAACTGTAATAGCATAAACAATAAAACATTTTTTAAAAAAGCAAAACACACAAAAAAGAGAAAAAAATCTAAAGCTTATCATAACATTTTATTTTCTCCCAAATAACATAAAGCCTTTATCAAGTGTAAATTCTGTTTACACTTTCCTGAATTATGTTACAATAGTATGGTATTTCAATATTAAAGTTTATGTTTGACCCCTCTAAAAGAACAAAAGGATGTGTTTTTTGTTCAAAACAAAACGTAAGAAAGCCCCCTCCCTGCCCAGCCGGTCTCCTGTACAAGTTTTTGTACGAATGTGGGATATGCACCTTGGAATGGAATTCTCTTGGGTATATACATAGGAGTGGGATTTGGGGTCATACGGTAATTCTGTGTTTGGCAGTTCCTCACTGTGTTCTGGTTCAGTCTCGTGTAGCAATTAGGCCCAACTAGGACAGATTCATGAAGATTACATTTGTTAGTTACTGTGTACGTTAGAGTTCTCCAGAGAAACAGAATCAATGGGAGATATGTGTCTATATCCAAATCTATCTATCTTTCAAGATATTTGTATTAAGAAATTGGCTTATGCAATTGAGGGAGCCAGTACGTGGCAAGTCTGAAATCCCAGGACAGATTGGCAGGCTGGAAACTCGGCAGGATTTCTATGCTGCAGAGTTGAGAAGTCCTTTTTCCTCCAGGAATCCTCAGATTTTGTTTTTAAGCCTTCAGCTGATTGAATGAGTACACCCACATTATCCATGGTTATCTCTTTTACATACTCAACTACTGTTGTTGTAAGTGTTAATCACATCTACGAAACAGAGCAAAATCTAGACTGGTCTTTAACCAAACAACTGGCACCATAGTCCTTCCAAGTTGACACAGAAAATTAACCACCACGTTACTTTAAATGATCATATTCACTTATTTTCAGAGAAATGAGACTAATGATGGAGACTATGTTTTTCTAACTGGAGAAGACAATTACCTTAACTTTTCAAAGATTCTGGAATGGAATGGAAAAACGTAAGTGTCATAATTCATTGGCGTGATTATTTGTCAATTTTCATTTAAACCTAATGTCCACTCACAGGTTACTTCAAAAATATTTTTATCACTGTCGTTGTTTGGATTAAAAAATCTATAAATATGTAAAATATACTTATAATTCATATTTTATAAATCAAAATTGGGACCTTGCACTTGACAAAGGGAATGTTAACGGTTTGTAGATGTGTCATGGCCGACCATGAACCTGGCCAGTGGAAAGTTTTGCCCTTCCGCTTGTAGCCGTTGCATGGGGTACAACTGCAGCACCGATAGCTTTTCAAACCATGCTTGTTCTGGGGGAAGGAAGAGGTTCTCTTTTTAATTTAATTTAGTGATAGTGGATTGTTTGTGGGGTTTTTTTTAAAGGTCAAATACATTTGAGTTCAGGATAATAGTATTTCAAAAATAGTTTTTATTTTATTATTTATATTGTAAACAAATTACTTCCAAAAAGGAGCTGAGGCAGCTTTCAATAAAGCTACCTATAAAACAAGATAATTTTTTAAAGTTAGAGAAATTAGGAACCTTGTAGAGAAAACAACGCTCATTCTTCAGCGACTGAGGTAAGTGGAGTTCTGTTCTTGAACGTTAAATTTACCTCTTAGCTTCCCATAAAACAGGCAAAAGGCTGGTGTGGGATGTAGGGGAACTCTGTATTATCTTCACAACTTTTCTGTAAATATCAGACTGTGTTGAAATAAAAAGTCTATTTAAATTTTGAAAAGCACATACGTAAGCATATTTATAAGCATGCACACACACATAAATATAAGATCCCTGAAAGAATATATAACAAACTGGCAATGGTGTTACTCCTTGAGGGGGAACTCAATGCCTGGGGTACTGACTGGAAAGAAAATTTACTTGTAAACAGGATGTAGCTGGATTTTGTTTTAAACCCATTCCTTTTTTTTCCCAAACTTTCAATAGGTGTTTAATCCTTTTATATATGTGTTACAATTACTCATACATTTATGGTATAATGATATATTATTTAATGTATTTGGACTTTTTCCTGGTTTATGTCTATTCTATCTTCAATTTTTATGATTTAAATTTAACAATATTTTTCTAACAAAATCTAAGACTATCTATTGTCTCTCTTCTCCTTCCAAACAGGACAATAACTTTACTCATTTTTTTTAAAGTATATTTTATTGATTATGCTATTACAGTGGTCCCATTTCTTCTCCCCTTTACTCCCCCCTGCCCTGCACCCCCCTGCCCTCCAGCATTCCTCCCCACCGTAGTTCATGTCCATGTGTTGTACATGTAAGTTTTTTGATAAGTATAGGAAAGTCCATTTCCTATGCTATTCTTAACCTCACCCTGTCTATTTTGTGCTACCAGTTATGCTTCTTATTCCCTGTACCTTTTCCTCCCATTCATTCTCTCACCCGCCCCCGCCCCCGTCCACTGATAACCCTTCATGTGATCTCCATTTCTGTGAGTCTGTTCCTGTTCTAGTTGTTTGCTATGTTTGTTTGTTTTCTTTTTTTAGGTTCAGTTGTTGATAGTTGTGAGTTTTACTGTTCAGAGTTTTGATCACCTTCTTTTTCTTAGATAAGTCATACAATTGTAAGTTTTTCTTTTAAGATTTCATATAATAAGGGCTTGGTGATAATGAACCCTTTAACTTTACCTCATCTGGGAAACACTTTATCTGCCCTTCCATTCTAAATGATAGCTTTGCTGGATAGAGTAATCTTGGATGTGGGTCCTTGCCTTTCATGACTTTGAATGCTTCTTTCCAGCCCATTCTTGTCTGGAAGGTTTCTTTTGAGAAATTAGCTGATAGTCTTATGGGAACTTCTTTGTAGGTAACTCTCTCCTCTTCTCTAGCTGCTTTTAAAATTCTCTTCTTATCTTTAATCTTGGGTAATATAATTATGATGTGTCTTGGCGTGTTTCTCCTTGGATCCAGCTTCTTTGGAACTTTGTGAGCTTCCTGGACTTGCATGCCCATTTCCTTCACCAGATTGGGGAAGCTTTCCTTCATTATTTTTTCAAACAAGTTTTCAGTTTCTTCCTCTTCCTCTTCTCCTTCTGGCACCCCTATGATTTGGATGTTGAAATGTTTATAGTTGTCCCAGAGGTTGCTAAGCCTCTCTTCCTTTTTTCGAATTCTTGTTTCTTCTTTCCGTTCCACATCTTTGATTTGAGTCCCAGTTTCCTTCCCTTCACTGTTGGTTTTGTGCATATTTGTCTTTATTTCACTTTGCATAGCCTTCACTTCTTCCTCTGTTTTGTAACCATACTTATTCATTTTTGTGGGTATGATGATTACTAGTGTTTTGAACTCTGCATCTGACAGGTTGGCTGTCTCTTTGTTGCACTGTTCTTTTTCTGGAGTTTTGATCTGTTCTTTCTTATGGGTCATATTCCTTTGTCTCAGCACACCTGTTGCATTGTAAGGGGTGGAGCCTTAGGTGTTTGCCAAGGCAGGGCAACTCATCGCTGTGTTTTGGTGCTGTCTGTGGGGGAGGGTTCAGAGAGGGGACAATTCCACTTGCTTGGCTCTTGCCCTACTTTCAGTCACTTCCCTCTCTTCCCACAAGTGGATTGTGCCCTTTCCGGTGCTGATTCCCAGGTGGGTGGGCTTGTGTACATTCTAGAATCCTGTGGACTCTGCAACGGACTCTCCTGTGAGGCTGGGCATTTCTCCTGCCACCCCCCACAGGTTTTTATAGCCATAGGTTTTGAGGCTTTGGTTTCCTGAGCCAGAACCCTGGGTTGTGCAGTCTGGCTCATTCCCTGGTTGTTCCTCCTGATTTATCCACACGTGAATGTGGGACCACCAGCCACCACCTTGCCCGCCCCAGTCTGCCAGCCACAGCCTTGTTGCACATCTTTGCCACCCCTCCTACCAGTCTGGATGAATGTTTCCTTAACTCCTTGGTTGTTGGACTTCCATAAAGTTTGCTTTTCTGGCAGTTTTGATTTTTTGTTTTTAAATTGGTTGTTATCCTTCTTTTGGTTGTATGAGGAAGTGAAGCATATCTACCTACGCCTCCATCTTGGCTGGAACCAGCTACATCCTCATTTTTTAATACACGTACATATTCTGTGTGCCAGACACAGACATATTCTGTGTCTATTTTTGTGTGCTAACTTGTTTTACCTTTTTAGGAAGCCAAATATAAGTAAAAAGTTCATTTTTTTATTGTAAATACATAATTAAATACCAATATATTTTATTAACTTTTTTTCCTTCTCAGATCTTCCCCTGGGTTTATTTTTCTTGCTAAAAATTACCCATTTGTACAGTGGTGTTAAAGCAGAGGCAGTTTTGTGGCCTCATAGGACATTTGGTGATGTCTGGACACATTTTTGGTTGTCACAACTGGCAGGTGCTACTGGAATCTACTGGGAATAAACCTGGGATATTGTTAAAAATTCCACAGTGGAGAGGACAGTCCTCCCACAAAAAAACGGTCAGGCTCAAAATGTTAATAGGTTAAGAAACCTGCATCAATAGTTCTTTCAGTAAACATCTGTGGGTGGTAAACTTTCTTAGACTTGACATGTGTTAAAATGTCTAAATTTCATTCTCAGTTTTGAATGACTTTAGTTAGGTATAGAATTATTGGTTGACAGTTCAAAATTATGAAGATCTACTCCATCGATATTTATATCTTTCTTTTCTTTGGCCTTTGCAGTTTTACTACAATATATCCAGATTTGAATTTATTTGTATTTATTCTGTTGGACTGTTAGGACATACATTCAACTCAAAGCCCTCATATCTTTCTTAAATTTTGAAAAACTTTCAGAAGTTATCTCTTAACTTACTGCTTCTCTGTTACTTGTTCTACTTTCACCATCACCCCCCAAGAAAAAACTATAAAACATTTATTGGAGCTTCTTCATCTATTCTCTGTATCTTAATTCTTTCATTTTTAGTTTTCCTCATCTTATATTTGTATAAATTCCTTAGAACTATCTTCCAATTAAGCAATTCTCTCTCCAATTATGTACGATCAAGAGTTTTCTATCTTCTGAGTTTTTTTCTTAGAAAATATTTTTATTTCCATGATATCTGTTTTTCCTTTTTTGGACCTCTCTACACTTGTTTCATTCTTTCCTTTTCGTTTATTTTTACTTTTAAAAAAAGATTTTTATTTATTTTTAGAGAGAGGGGAATGGAGGGAAGAAGAAAGGGAAATATGAATGGGCCATGTCCCCAGTAGGGGGCACGTGTGCCTCTCATGTGCCCCCTACTGGGGACATGGCCCATAACCCAGGCATGCGCCCTGACTGGGAATCGAACTGGTGACCCTTTAGTTTGCAGGCCGGCACTCATTCCACTGAGCCACACCAGTCAGGGCTCTTTCCTTTTTATTTTTAAAATAATTTCTCATTTCATTTCTAAGGATGTTATTGTTTCATTCTTTCATTTATCTCTTAGAGGATACTAAACAACACATTATTGAAGGTAATAGCCAAATTGTTCAATTATTTTAATTTCTTCTAAAGTGAATTCATCTTCTCATTGTTAATTTTGTTACCTGTCTCTCAGTATAAGTTTCTTTCATTTAAAAAAAAAATGTTGATTTGCAGAACTACTTTGGTTGGGAAGCCCACTAGCTCATCTGTGCTTTTAGTGTGTATGAAATCAATTTGTAACTAAGCTTTCTTGACACCCAAGAGAAGACCCCGTTAATTCTGTTCCAAGGGGAGACAGAATTAATGCTCTGTCATGAATATTAAAGAGATGAACATATCTCTCCAGAACTTGTCTGTCAGGTAATTATTAATGCTAAATTGGATCATTGTTGTAAGGGAATATTTCTAAACCTCTGTGTAGGATACCCTTTTTCAAGGAAGGATAAAGGGATTTTTGGCTATTGCCTTTATCAGAGGGGTCAGGAGCCTCTTTTTCTCCATCTTAATTGCATACCTAACTATTATTTCCCTTCTGTCTGCATATGAATGAGATTCTGTGGGTAATCAGCTCCCAGTTAAGTCATGCAAAGTCCTGATCATTTGAAAAAGAAAATCAAAAAATCACATTTGATCCTCTTGACTCTCTCTTTTGTTCTTATCAATTACAGGTCACTTGACTGGTGGGCAACAGACAAGTGCAATATGATTAATGGAACGGATGGAGATACTTTCCACCCACTAATAACCAAAAATGAAATCCTTTATGTCTTTCCATCTGATTTTTGCAGGTAAGAAATTTAAAAATATCTTTGACTCTAAGACCACCAAAAGTATGAGGAATCTATGTAGCTACACTTATTAGACATGGATATTCATGTTTAATCAGTGATAAATGATGATGGCGTATTGAGAGACAATGTACAGTCGTGGTTTACAATATGGACTTCGAAGCCTGTCTGCATTGGTTTGAATACCAGCTTCACTACCGTATTTTGCCATGTATAACATGCTCCCGGGTATAATGTGCACCCACGCTCCTGGCCTAAACTTTCAGGAAAAAAATCTTTTATTTTAATTTTTAAATTCAATTATTTATTCATTTATATCGAGAAACAAAACAAGTTATCATATTCAGGTTATTATTTGCACATGGATATTGTTACTGCTTTCTAGAGTTACACTTTTAACACATATGCATAAATAAAAGAATTAAAAACATTTATATAGATACAGAATTAGTATTAACCACATATAATTTGTATCCTTATCTTTCCTTCAAAAATTTGTACAAAAGAGTGCACATCTTACACGGCAAAATATGGTACATACAGCTGTGTGACATTGGGAAAGTTATTTATTCACTTTCTTCATTTGTAAAATAAAGATAAAAATAGTTGCCTACCTTGAGAGCTGTTCTGAGGACAAATGCATTACTGTTAGTAAAATACTTAGTTCAGGGCCTGTCACACAGTAAATGAAATTAAGAGTTGGCTGTTAGTTAATATGATATGCTTCACCAAGCATGAAATTTGACCTGTTTTTTTCCCAGCCAACAGGTAATCTCTACATAGAAGATAAATAAATCATACAGTTGCCCATAATTCAGAGTTTATAGGTATTTGCTTAGCTGTAACCTTGCCACTGATCATGTCTATCCTCACTTGCCCTGTAATCTCTCCTTCTTTACTGCTTGCTCCATCTACAAACGAACATGATTATGTCTTTGTGGGAGGAAGGCCGTCTGCTCTGCACCCTGGTTCCCGTCTCGCCATCATCCGCCGCGCCTTTGCCTGCCCATCACGCTTAAATTGATTGAATGAGTCGCTGACTCTCGCCGCCTCCATTTCCTCTCCCACTCACTCTTTCAAGGCTTTATATGAAACTCTGCACAATCAGAAATGACCTGCTCACATGTGACACTGTTGATTTAAAATTCTCAAGAATTACTGTTTTTTGGCTGTTTCATGTCTCACATAGTTGCACCACTTACCAGTCAGCCCTGCCAGAAACATCGGGGACACTGAAAATATCCCTCTTCTCTTGCATTTAATCGGTCACCAAGTCCTATTGATTTGTCCTCCAAAACAGCTCTTGGATTCATCCTCACCACTCTGTGCTTACTATCCTTGCCATGATTCAGACCAGCGATTTTCAACCTTTTTTCATCTCATGGCACACTGAAACTAATTACTAAAATTCTGCGGCACACCAAAAAATATGTTTTTTGCTGATCTGATAAAAAAAAATAGGTATAATTTTGATTCATTCACATCATATGGCTATTGTTTTGTTGGTTGTGGTCATTTTTTTTACTTGACCATCTAAGGGAAAAGAGGTCAGTGCCCCTGACTAAATAGTCAGGTATTGCATGTTTTAAAAATTCTTGTGGCACACTGGTTAAAAATTGCTGGTTTTGAGACCCTTTCCAACTTTCATACAGAATAGCATAGTCATCTTCTCGCTGGCTGCTCCATTTAATAAATATTTGTGGAAGGACTGAAGGACTTAAAATGCATTGGAGTGCAATGAGTGAAACAAGGGAACCTAGAAAGGCAGTAGGATGTTTTTTGGAAAAGATTTGGCACGGGGGAAACACATTCTTACCTGGTACAGCCGCTTTGAAGAGCCATTGGGCGATGTTTAGCAAAGCCAAAGGAATGCCAGCTCCGTAATTCTGCATTCCTGTCCTTGTGTAGGTTCCCCAGCCTAAAGAACTCTTTACATGTACACGCAAGGAGACGTAGACAGAAATGTTCACTGCAACATTGTAGTAGTGAAAAATTGGAAACAATCTAAGTGCTTATAAAAATAAAAATATAAATAAATTCTGGTATATTTATATGATGGAATACCATATAGGATTTAAAATGTACGAACCAGAGCTATGTACCTTAATGTAAAAAATCTTTAAAATATAGTGTTGAATAAAGAAACAAATTACAGAAAGAGGATATGGTATACTGTATATAATATTTTAAAATAGCCAACAATTCCCCAAACAGTTTATGAAGAGGCGCATATGTAAAATATAAAGACCTGCATAGGAATAATGGACTGCAAATTCTGGATAATGATTTCTTTTGGGGACACAGAGAAGGACTAGAATCAAGAGTGCTATACGGAGAGCTACAGTTGTATCTATATTTTGTATTTATCTGATTAGTATTTGTTACAAAGGTATTTATTACAATAGTTTCTGTTTTTCTGTTTGCCTAAAATATTTCATTTAAAAAATGCTGTCAGGGTCGGGTGTGAGTGGAGGGCAATTCCCATGCTATTCACAGCCTTACCAAGAGGTATCTCATTTCTGGTTCACAGATGAAAAAGTGTATAAATAAACTTCATTTTCAAAAAGTAGGCCCAGGGCATACTTTTTTGCAGCCCTCAAATGAAGAGCTAAAGGATAGACTAAGACAAGGTGCTGTGTGTGAAAGGTCTGTTAAGGTCTCCCCTGGCTATCCAAAAGCACGCCGTTCCTATGGAACCTTCTGTAAGCTCATTTGGTGTAAAGCAAAGAAGCACTTATTAATTTATACGGAAAAATTTTTTAACATTCCAAGACATAAAAAATAACCCACTAAATCATACCAAATATGTCCAGTTTTAAACTAAGCATAACACCCTTACCAGCTGTCTTAGGCATTTCTAATACCTCAACACGCATTTTGCTAACAGGTGCACACAATCAATCGAGATAAAGCACAGATGCTCACAGATGCAGTTCAAAGCTATGGGGCTTATTGCTGTGCTGCTGAGTGTAGCTCCCGGGGAAGGAGCCAGGTGGGGCCACTCCCGTTGCTCAGGGTGCTTGCTGCCTTGTTGCAGAACAAGCACTATTTTTGTTTTTCACCTTTTCCCATGAAAGCAAAAATCCTCTTCAGATTTCTTAGGGTTAGCAAAAACAGGTACTAATGTAGGCCTTCGGTAGAAGTGTTACCGGGGAGACCCTAGACGGGGGGGCTTCCCCACCTCCTCAGCTCTTGCCTCACTCGCAAGAGGAGAATTCAAGCAAGAGACAACACATATTGAAAATGAAGTTTATATATACACTTGAGTAAAAAGGCTACAAGTGGGCACTCAGCTAATCTGAGTGCCCCGACCATTTAGGGGTCAGGGGTTATATTCTCTAGCTATCTTCTAGGTACACCTTCTTCTCACCCCTTTAGACCTTGGGATCAATGTACAATTATAAGGCTTTTTTTTCTCAGCTAGAAAAGGCTCTCTGTTAGTGATATTGCTACAGAGACTCCCTGCTCCAGCACAGAGGCTCAAGGACTCCCTTCCTCTTGTGCTGTTTTTGCTTGCGATGTGTAGAACACCCAGCAATCTTATTGGACCAGGCTCAGGACTGCTGAACTAATGAGTGAGACATGTCTCCCTCCCGCTTCCTGCCTTGGTTTACTACCTATCCTGCCTAACCGAAGTAAAGTAGCGGAAAGCAAACTTTTGAAAAGCAAGGGATACCTGTTCTTAGGTGGTGTGCAAACATGAGAGTGGTTAGCATTTCAGGGGACCACCGTTCGAAAGTCCATTAACAACTCAAGGTAGAAATATGTCAAGCACCACTGCAATCAGTGATGGGCAAAAGATGGACACCTTTTATTTGGGAGAAGTGTGCATCAAAGCATGTATCCTAATCAAGTATTTGTCTATGAGGCACTTTTCCAAGCCGAGCTTGGGCTTTGCCTTGGCCTCACTCTTGTTTCCTTTTCTTTGCTTCTGCTTCACCCACACTGGCATGTGTCTCTGAGGGTCTAGATCATTTATTTCTTTCAGTATGAGTCTCCATTTTAAATGTCATCTTGTTTATTTTCGACCACAGAGTATGTATTTTTTCTTGGACTTGTTTGGATATTACCACAACTGCTACCTCTTAAACATCTTTCATTACAATTCATTTCCTAATTTATTACACATTGAGTGGGTGGCGCTCCTTTCAAGCTTTTTTTTGCATCTTCGTTTTTCACTTACCCTCTAAACTCTTGGCTGTGTTGTACCTGAGAACTGTCGCGAGCTTCCTGATTCAGGCCACATCATGCTGACTGGAGCCCACGCTGACTTTTGTTATTACTTCCTAACAGGTCATTGTATATAACTTTCAGTAACTTTGAGAGTGTAGAGGGACTGCCTGCCTTTCGGTTTAAGGTGCCTGAAGAAATATTAGCCAATACCTCAGACAATGCCGGCTTCTGTATACCTGCAGGAAACTGCCTGGGCTCAGGAGTTCTGAATGTCAGCATCTGCAAGAATGGTAAGAGATGACGTGGTTCTGGGTGTCTGGAACGAAGGACTGGTGTTCTTCAACAATGGATGCTGTCAGCCCCGCAGAAAGAATGATTCTGATCTTTGAAGAGCAGCATTTTATAACATGGCTGTAGAATGGTGAGAGAGAAGGAGAGAGAGGAGAGAGGAGAAAGAGGAAGGGAGGGAGGGAGGGAGGGAGGAAGGAAGGAAGGAAGGAAGGAAGGAAGGAAGGAAGGAAGGAAAGGAAAGAAAGAAGGAAGGAAAGAAATTACTGGCTTTCCAATAATGGTTTTTATTGTTTGAATGCCATGTTGTGCTTTTTGTGGGCAGTAGTTCTTTTTGAAATACATTTTATTGATTACATTATTACAGCTGTCTCAATTTTTCCCCCTTTGCCCCCTCCACATGGCACCCCCATTCCCTCCAGCAATCCCCCCTTAGCGGGGAATTGCCTGTCCCTGGGCTATGCATATATATTTTTTGGCTTCTCCATTTCCTATACTGTTCTTAACATGCCCCCTGTCTATTTTGTACCTACCAATTTGTACTTCTTAATCCCTGTATCTTTTCCCCCATTCCCCGCCTTCCCCCTCCCAGCTGATAACCGTCCAAATGATCTCCATGCCTATGATTCTGTTCCTGTTCTAGTTGTTTGCTTTGTTTTTTAGATTCAATTGTTGATAGTTGTGAATTTATTGCCATTTTAATGTTCATAGTTTCATCTCCTTTTTCTTAAATAAGTCCATTTAACATTTCATGTAATAGTGTCTTGGTGATGATGAACTCTTTTAGCTTTACCTTGTCTGGGAAGCACTTTATCTGACTTTTGATTCTAAATGATAGCTTTGCTGGATAGAGTAATCTAGGTTTTAGGTCATTGCTTTCCATCACTTCGAATACTTCTTGCCAGTCCCCTCTGGCATGCAAAGTTTCTTTTGAGAAATCAGCTGACAGTCTTATGGGGACTGCTTTGTAGGTAACTCTCTGCTTTTCTCTTGCTGCTTTTAAGATTCTCTCTTTATCTCTAACCTTTGGCCTCTTAATTATGATGTGTCTTGGTGTGGTCCTCTTTGGGTCCAACTTGTTTGAGACTCTGTGTGCTTCCTGGATTTGTATGTGTATTTCCTTCACCAAATTAGGGAAGTTTTCTTTCATTTTTTTCAAGTAAGTTTTCAATTTTTTGTTCGTTCTCTTCTTCTGGCAGCCCTGTGATGCAAATGTTGGTACTTTTGATGTTGTCCCGGGAGCTCCTTACCTTATCCTCATTTTTTTAATTCTTATTTCTTCTTTTTTTTGATTGAATGTTTTTTCCTCCTTCTGTTCCAAATCATTGATTTGAATCCCAGCTTCCATCCCTTTACTGTTGGTTTCCTGTAGACTTTTCTTTATTTTACTTTATATAACCTTCATTTCTCCTTGGGTTCTTTTTATGCTGTTGAACTACCCAGTGAGTTCCTTGAGCATCCTAATAACCAGTGTTTTGAACTCTGCATCCGATAGATTGCTTATCTCCATTTTGTTTAGTTCTTTTTCTAGAGTTTTGTTCTGTTCTTTCATTTAGGCCACATTTCTTTGTCTCCTCTTTTTGGCAGCCTCCTTGTGTTTGTTTCTATGTATTAGGTAGAGCTTTTTCAACTCCCTGTCTTAGTAGTGTGGTTTATTGTAGAAAAGCCACACTACTAAGTTGGATGGGGTGGAGCCTTAGGTAATTGCTGGGGTAGGGCAACCCGTGTGAACCAGGGTGACCGGAGTCTCAGATACAGTGTTGCCACTTTGTGCCTCTGTGTGGGGGAGGACTCAGAAAAGGGACAGTGGCCTCAGCCTGGCCTCTGGAGTTTGTCTGGGAGGAAGCTGTCCTCTGGGACTTGCCCTGATGCCAGACAGTTCAGTTTCTCCCCATATGCCACTGGTGCCCTTCCAGCTGCTGCTCCTGGACGGGAGCCCAGAGGGAGGGAGTCTGTATAAGTCCTGGAACTGTCACAGGCCCTTTAAGAGGAGGCGGCTGAGAATCCTGCAGTTCTGCCACCCCAACCTACACTGGTTTTTACAGTCAGGAGTTACAGGGACGTATCTTCCTGGCATCGGAACCCTGGGCTGGGTGGTCTAGTGTGTAGCTGGGATCCTTCACTCCTGAGGTACCCCCTCTGATTTTTATCTACCACATGATGGTGTGGGACCACCTGTTCTGCATCTCTGTGTCTCCATGTCTCCACCCCTCCTACCCATCTGGATGAATGTGACTTCTTTATTCCTTGGTTGTCAGACTTCCATACTACTTCATGTTTTAATGATTCTGGGTGATAGTTGTTTTGTAATTTAGTTGTAATTTTTGCTCTGGTTGTATGAGAAGGCAAGCTGTGCTTACCTACACCTCCATCTTGACTGGACCAGAAGTTTAGAAGTCTTAATAGTAACAATTGTTCAGGTTTTGCAGCACTTACTAGCACCAGTCACTGTTTTAAGTACTTTACATATTTACATATAGTTAATGCATGTGGAGCATTAACTGGTTTCATGCTTAAAACAATGCTGAAAGACAAAATAGAGAACTCGGTAATGAGAATGTACAGATCTTGGTAAAGAGTCTCAATGACTTCAAAGCAGTTAGTTTTAAAACCTGACTGCGAATGTCTCAGTTTTCTTAATGTCAGACCTACTCTACTTTTTTCCATGAATGAGGCAGAATTATCAGTGGCACAACTGATAAAATAATTTTGTATGTCCTGAAAACTAGTTTTAACAATATGTTTCATAATTAATTACAATAACTTTGCTAGAGAGATATCCAGTGGCCTCTCTTTATAAATGTAGAAATCAAGGATCAGAGAAGGAACATGATTTTTATCAAATCCTTACCTCTCTGCAAGTCCTTGTTGTAAGCAGGGTCTCATAGTCATACCATGATTCTTCTTAGGCTACAATTCCCCTTTACAGTTTCTGTTGAGAAACGTTGTGAGCCTTTTTTCCTGAATAAAGTCGCCCTTTTCTGCTGAATAAAGTAATGTGCTAACTTTGCCCTCTTGTCTGATTGGTTTGACAATCTCCTTTGGAGATTAGTCTGAGGTCAGCAGCACCCTCCCATCCTTATCTGATGGGGCAGTGCCTCCCAAACCTGGCCTGGCATCAGGGTTACCTGGAGAATCATTAAAAATATCTGTCCCAGGGCCCAAATACTAGGGCCCCAGAATCTGTATTTTTTAACATGAGCTCCCGGTGATTCTCATGAAGATGATGCCTTTGTGTTTGGGAAGCACTGTGCTAGGGAGCATGGCACCCCTTACCTGGGGATAAGACCAAAGGTGAATGGGAACGTTTCTGTTTCTGATCTCACCTATTGTCTTTCTGGGTGAATGGTCCTGAAATAGCTCCCTGGCCACTCGGCTCATGAGCCTCTGGCGCCGGGCATAAATGTGGGTGTAGTTTTTGTTTTGTTAACATCCTGCTACCTCAAGACAACTGATGTCAGAATCAACAGGAAGATTCTTCTTTGCAACAGTCAAACCTCTTGCTGCAATTTCTTTGCTCTGCCTCTTGTGTGTTACCAAATGGGGGCTGAAATGTTCACTCTCCAGGATTATCCTCAAGGGTTTTGAATCCCCCAGGGTAACATTTTGGATAGTGGGGTGAGTGAGTGTTCTGGGGTCAAAAAGGTGTGGATTTGAGTCCTGTTTTATTTGCTAGCAAATTGGCCAAGTTGATGAAGGAGGGTTCTAGACATCAGGTTTCTCATCCATAAAAATGGAGGTGATTGCAACTTGGAAGCTTGTGTGAAGGTTAGAGATAATGGATGTAAGATAGTTGGGACAGTGTCTGGCCCTTCTTGAACCTTCAATAGAGTTTTTAAAATACACTTTAAAGGTGACTGTAGGTCACAAAGAAGGAAATTATGGCTTTGTGAAACTGTTTAGGGTTAAGAGCAGGACACCTGCGTGTGACAGGTGATGTGTATGGTAAGCCATGGGCCCGGGGGGTATGGAACCAGAATGAAATTACTTGCCAATAAGCTAATGTCTTCAAAAAAATGTATTTCCCTAGTAGCTATTATTGGGTCCCCTCTCTCCTCTTCAGTATCAAAATCTAGAATACGTTTTCTTTAATAATTTGTTTCTTAATATGAATAGGAAAGGAAAAGAAAAACAACCAGAAAAACAGAGTCTTCATGTGGGCAAACCTTCATCTAGTCAGGGGCTAGGCAGGTATCATAACCAGACATGGTCTTAAAAAATTCTACATCAACATGTACAGGGGAACAAAGCCTATCTTAGATAAAATAAAAACAGAAAGTAAGCAAAAACAACACAAAAAAGGCTATTTACTGGTAGAGAATTGTAATTGAAACAAGCACTTTAAGAACTGTAAGTTCTTAAAGTTCTTCAAAGTTCTCGAAACAAGTACTCAAAGAACTTTACGTTCTTTGAGATAAATCATCTATTCAATTAGAATTCTGCCTCTGTCACCTGATAGCTGGATGTCCCTGGCTAAATTTTGTCACTTCTCTGAACCACACTTTATTCAAATGCAAAACGAAGATAATAGTTCTAATGCCACAGGGCTGCTGGGACTGTTATCGGGCAGACCCGAGTCCGAGTCCGGTTTCTCCCCCTTCTCGGCTCTTGTCTTGCTGTCAGGAGGGGAATTCAAATGAGAGACAAACTTGTATAGTGGAATAAGAAAGCAAATTTATTTATGAAATACACTTGAGGACGAAACTACAGGCAGGTACCCAGCTAGTCTGAATGCCCCAGGTATAGAGGAAATAAAGTCATTAGTAAGCTCATTAATAAGTTTGTTAGTAAGTTTGTTCTGTACACTTGAGCCAAGGCTACAAGCGGGCTCTCAGCTAATCTGAGAGCGCCAACTGTTGGAACTGCAGCAGTTACAGGCTTGAGTCAGTTTCCAAATTTCCCCCACTCCCCTTTCCAGACCCTGGGATTAACATAGTTATAAGGGCTTTCTTTTTCAGCTTGTGAAATTGCTACAGAGGCTTTCTTTTCAAGCTAAGGAAATCGTTACTAAGGCTTTCTTTCCCTTGGAAGCCATACAAACAAAATTTCCAGGGCTCCCCTCCTCCTGAGCTATCATAGTTCTGCTTGTGATTCTCAGAATGCCTGGCAATCTTACAGGACCAGGCTCAGGACTGCTGGGACGATGCGTGAGACATGTCTCCCTCCTCCTTCCTGCCTTGGTTTACTATCTATCCTACCTAACAGGAACATTAAAAAAAATAATGTGTATAAAGCATTTTCTTTTATAGGTTGAGTAAATGTTTGTTAAAGAATAATTTCACTAGGGTTTTAGTATATATTATGGAATAAAATAATGAGATGTCAGAAAGTAAAGTATAAATCCTGAACTAAGAGGTGTAGAATGGAATTTCAGCCTTCCCTCTGCAGCCCAAGTTTACTTATGTATATAGCTTTTCCCCCTTCATAGGAACCAGCTTTGTGGTCAGGAGCTTTATATTTATCTTAGACTTGTCAGAACCACAGCATTCACTTCTCTTTTCCTTAAAACGCAGGTGCCCCTATTATTTTGTCTTTTCCACACTTCTACCAAGCAGATGAGAAGTTTGTTTCTGCCATAGAAGGCATGCATCCAAATAAGGAATATCATGAGACGTTTGTGGACATTAATCCTGTGAGTACGCAGCTCCTTCTGGTAAAAGACCATACATTTCATTCTGTCTATTCAGTGTTTGTGGTTTAGTCTTTAGCTCTCTTAAATCTACTGTCTTCCTTTGATATACAGTCAAATGTAGGAAATTCAGCTCAGGGGAATGTAATGCATAGTCTCCCAGTCTCCCATTTAGAAGGCTGTGTTCTGTGGATCTAATCAACAGAAACACCAGTAAACCTGCTTTAACAAAAAGGCAACAGTGAAGTTTCCATCACTGAAAACAACTGAGATTGGACCCAAGGAACCTGGTCAATCTTCTGTTACCAGCCTTGAACCTGAATAGGTATACGTTTCTCTCGCAAGGCTGAACCAAGGTTGAAGACATTCCTGGTTACTGCCAGAAATGTTTTGGTTAAAATTAAAAAAATAAAAAAATATATATATATATCAATTAGCTTTGGTCACTTTTGGCAAACCTCTTTTTACCGGTACTTCTGAGAGTTTATTATATATTATTCATGGAAAAGGCATCAGCTATACATACACTGTAATCCTATATTCATAAAAAAAAATAAAAATCATGTCAAAAGGATGTGAGTATCATTTCAAAGTGTGACAGCCTCTCACTGTAGGAACTGAATTTGAGGTCAGGTATCTTCACTCTTGGGCTTTTGAACACATGGCACGATAAGAGAAAAGCAAAACATTCTTTTAGCACAGGAGTTTAGCGTGGTTGCGCTCTTAGCCACGCTCAGTATATCTGTATCTGAGAAAGCAGTGGGCTTATCTTTTTGTGAACAAGATCAGGTGTGGTTTTCTCCCTTTTCTCTCTTAACCACCGGTGAGTTCCTTTTCATCAGCCAAACTGTTAGCAGGTGCTTGTTACCAAGGGCTGGGCACAGTCCCATTACCTTAGCTGACAGCAGCAGCTGCTCCTCCTGGGTGGACCTGACCACACGCGGCCACTCTTCTCTGGCAGTGACAGCCATCCTTCTGACAGGGTGTCTGTTAGAGCTCCCTTCTGCCAGGGTCCCCCAGGGCTTTGCTAGTCAAAATGGTAGCATCCTGGGTGCTTGTTAGAAATGCCCAACCTTAGGCCCCACCCCCAGACCTACTCAGTCAGAACTCCCATGCATATGAAAGGATGAGAAACATTGGTCTACCAGGCACCTAAAAATAATCCACCTCTGTCATTTTGTTCTGAGGTCAGCCTTTTCCTTGTCCCACCGTGCCTGTCAAACATAGCAGTGGTCACCTGGTTTATCGGAAACACATGGAAATACTGCTGTATTGAAAAAAAATGGTATTTGTGGTTTCAACAATGTTTTCTTTCTTCTTCTCTGATTTGCAGTTGACTGGCATTATTCTACGAGGAGCCAAGAGGTTCCAAGTCAATGTTTATGTCCAAAAAATAGATGGCTTTATGTAAGTTTTGCTTCTTTCTACAGAGCAAAGGGTAGTTTTCCTACATTGACTTTCTGGTGGGGTTGATGTTGGGAAGGATACAGCCCATTTCTAAGTCCACTCACCCCCCCAGGGATAAGGCATGACCAGCATTCTCTTAAGCTCCTAGAATTTACTGATTTTATTTAACCAAATACATATAGAGTTCTTTCCATGGATCAGGCATTGTTTACATATTTCAACACCTTTATTCCTCACAGTAACCCTGTTTTATGCCCATTTCACAGATGAGGAAAACAAGGCACAGAGAAGTTAAATAACTTGCTAGAACTCATACAGCTAGTAAGGTGACAGAGCTGGCCCTTCCCCTTGCACTGAGCAGTTCCCTCGCCGTGCCTCCGGTCACCTCCTTCCTTGCCCTCTGCTCCCACCCACAGCCAGCCACAGCCGCACGTGGGTAGTTACAATGGTCTCCTGAGTCCAGCCTTTCCTCCCCACACTCTATATAAGAGCCACTACTTACTTAGGGTCCCAAAGTGTAGTCTCCTGCTCAGACTTTTCAATGGGAATTTTTGCAGTATGAGAAAATACTTAGAATTTAATGTTGAATGGAAAAAGCTATACATAATATCATATATCTATCTGTTCTTTCTATCTATCACCTATCTATATATCTACAAAACTATACATAATACTATACAAAACTATACATATCATATATCTTTCTATTTATCACCTATCTATATATCTATCTATAAAACTTGGTTGGTTCCCCATCACATTTGCCAAATCCTACAATCATGGCTCTTTCTAGGAAGCAGATGTGAGTTGTCACCTGTGTGTATTCCTGAGGCAGTATAATTTAGTAGTTAGGGTCTAGTGCTTTAGAATCAAAATGGAATTACCATCCTGGCTCTACCATTTACTCTAGTGGTCCTGGATGAATTACTCTGAGCTGTAATTTCCTCTCTTAAACCTGGGACAGTAGTACCTCCTGCATGGGACTACTGGAAAATTAAATGAGCTCATGTCCCCAAAACACCGATACAGAGCTGGTGCATGGTAAATGCTCAGTAAGTGACTGCTCTGGGCTCTTGTGAACGTGATACCTAGTAGCCTGCTTGGAAAACATTCCGAGGACCAGCAGCATCGTTCTGCCAGCTGAAGCCTTCCCTCTGACTCTTGGCAGAACTGTAACCATTTTGATGAATTGATTTCAGCATCTTGTGTTTTGATGAAAAGTTTACATACATCAACAGCACTTGGAATTGGTACACTAAGCGGTTGGACCCTAACTTCTGATTGATATGTGTTTGCAAAGATAACTAAGAAGTCTCTTTAAATTCTGAGTAATTTAATGAAATAAGTGTGCTGGAATTTTCATGAAAATACCAGCCACCAGTGTGCCATTGCAATGAGAATGCCGATAAAATGATCTCATCTTCTGTCTTTGCAGTGAAACAGGAAACATTAGAACCATGGTTTTCCCAGTGATGTATGTCAATGAGGTGAGTCCTGGGAGAGAGCCATGGTATGTTTTACCTGTGGAAGCTTGGAAATCTTCCATTATGATGTCTACCATTGCAGCTATGTATCATTTTAAACGTGAGGGGTGGGTGAAAGGTGATTTTTAAAAACCTGTTTGTCCTCGGAAAATTTATTAGTGTGTGAACATGGAGCCATTTATCTGAGATTTGAAAGTGACAGAAATTTCCCTTCTCAAGAACATTATTTGTGTGAACCTTCCTTCCGGGAAGCTGGTTGTGTAAGAAATAAAGTGCAAAGGTCAATGAAGCAATGCCAGACACTGTTGCAACAGAATAACCAACACTCAGATAGCAAATTAAACCTTTGAAACTCTGTCAGTTTGTAAAAATGTCATCTTTGTACTGTTCATTAGTTGATGAGGAGGAGGAAAAGAGTAAAATTAAAGTGATTGGCAACATTAATAAAAATTTAGTGTAAGATGGTTAAAGAAATAGTTAAATATATGTGATACATGTGCCCTGTCCAGTGTGGCTCAGATTGGTTGGAGTGTTGTCCTGTGTACCAAAAGGTTGTGGGTTCGATTACTGGTCAGGGCATGTATGGGAAGCAACCAGTTAATGTTTCTCTCTCACATCAATGTTTCTCTCTCTCTCTCTCTCTTTCTCTCGCAATTCAATAAACATACATGCCCATTAATTTCAGTGATACATGGTTGCCTCAACCTTAATCACAGCATAGAGTTTTTCCTACTTTCTGGTGAACAAACATATTGTGAATTATAGGAAAGAGATCCTATCCTATTTTAAATAAAAAAAAGTTTCCCTGAAGAAATAGTTCTGTTGTAGTGTACCCACAGAAATATTATCTCTAAAGGTTAGGTGTAAATTAAACTTCTGTTAATATCCTGAAAGCTCAAAAGACACCTACTATTTAAAACACCTATGACAAATTTTTTTTATGAATCACACATCACATTACTGTAGTTTTTTCCCCTCAGTTTCCCTCTCTTCTACCCAGTTTCAAGGAGAAAATTGTAGGTTTGTTTCTCCTCAATGAATCTCAGTTGACTGGCTTTTGTTGTTAGCAGCAGCATTTTAAAAAGTTTTTATTATTTTTTCCTAAACAAGTATTTTCCCTAAAAATACTTACTCTTTGTAGAAAATTTAGTAACACAGATTAGCAAGAAAAGGGGAAAAAATTAAAACCATTTTTCGCAGAACCTGAGCCAGACTGACATACTATTTTTAACTCGCTTTATTTTCCTCACCAATGTGTTGTAAAATTTTTTCCAATAACAACTTTGTAAAAAATAACTTAATAGTTTACATGTGATAAAACTAATATGTACTCTTTATAGAACTCTAGGAAAAAAATTTTAAAATATTTAAAAAGTGAACCACTGATAAGCCTGGCCCTCAGAGAACAGTGTGCTTGGCATCTGCTCACATTACCTCAGTAGTTGTGACCATACTGTGTGTTTTATATCCTCTTTAAATTTAGTGTTATATTGGTGACCACATTTACAAACTTTTGAAGGATTTGTGATTTCAGTGCTAAGACAAGGCTTTTATTTTTTTCATGGGAAAAATGCAGGCAATATTTACCTGAATATCTGTGAGGAGAGCATGAAAGTAGGGCTCTTGGAAATGCGGCATGCCCCTGCACTGCAAGCTTCTGGTCATAGTCGTGGCATATTTGAAGCCCCCGCCACTCAAACTTATGCTTTGATTTTTCTTTTGTTCAAGACCAGATTGAATCCAGGGAGACCTGGAGGTGACCTCAGAGGCTGCACTCTCACTCCCTTTTCAAGAGGAGGAGAGTGACCCTAACAGGCCTTGGCCAGTTATTGGGAAACCAGCCCTAGATCCCCAGCCTCTGCCTCAGTGCAAAGGAACCGAAATTAATTCCCAAAGTCTTTTATTTGTTGCAAATAAATGTTATGGAATTAAACATTTCCGATACCTCACCCATGACAGTTTCAGGTGATTAACACCTTTACCCTCCATTCAGAAAGTGTCATTCTAGAACAACTTCCTTAGTTAGGACACCCTCTGCAACTCTGGTTAGCCTCCAGACTTCCCTTGAACACTTTCTCTCGAGACCTCTGGTCCTGATTAGCACAGATCTAACCAAGAGAGGAATTATATTTTCCCTATACCATTGTTGCAATATTTTGTCCATTCGTTCATTCGCTCATTCATTCATTCAATCTACTGACATTAATTAACTGTGTGCAGGGTTGTTGTACCCATTGTTGAGGTGACTGAAATAAAAGTTTTGCCTTTGGAACCTCACAGTCACAAGGAAACTGACAAGGGATACCACAAACCATTACAACACAGTGCAAAGACAGTGACGGAGGATTTTAGACAGTGAGCTGGAAATGCAGAAAAGGAGCCTTTAACCAGGACTGAGGTGGCCAGAGAAAACTTCTGAAAGGAAGTTATGCTGAGATGGAGTCTAAAGGATGAATTGGAGTTGTTTTTTTACAAAACAAAAGATGATATTATCTCAATACTTTTAAATACATTTTCCCTCCTCCTTCCAACCTCTTTTGAGAGTAAAACATATCTTCAAAAGAAAAGACGAGATGTTAGTGAATAAATGCCCCCTCTGGTTATTTCGATGTATAATTGGATTTTCGGTATCATATAGCAAAAGAAGTTATCCTCCGGATATTTAGTAATCAAGACAATACTATTTTCTTGCTCCCCTAGAGTGCTCTCATTGATAAAGAGACTGCAAGTCGACTGAAGTCTGTGGTTAACATTACTTCAGTCGTCACCAACATACCCTACATCATCATGGCGCTGGGTGTGTTCTTTGGTTTGATCTTCACCTGGCTTGCATGCCGAGGACAGGGGTCCATGGACGAGGTGAGTAGTGGCTGGAGGAACTTCTTTCTTACTGGATAACTTTGCCTGACAGATTCTACTGGGCTTCCTTGAAGAGCCATCAGCTGGCTCATTAGGGTGGACTCTGAGGTTTTATCTTGGGCACAGTGACTTCATGGTTATATTACTGCTGGACAAAATGAGAAGCAAGAAGGCGGGTGATAGAATGGTACCTTCCCATGCTTGGGGCACTTGTAGTGGGAATGGAATCCCTGGGAGTAAGCTTTATGTCTTTAAAAATAACCTGAAAGAAAAGGAAGAATATTTAACAGCTGAGCACCTGGCATTTGGTGTCAGACTGCCTAGGTTCAAATCCCAGTGCTGCTACTTAGTAGTTTCATGACCTGAGAAACTGTGCCTCAGTTTCTTCTTCTGTAAAGTGGAATAATACTACTCCCTTATGAGTTTTTCATGAGGATTAGGTGATGTAGTAAAATAAAACACATGGCCCAGTGTTAGGATGTAGTAAGAGCTAAACAAACATTAGTTATATGATAAAACAGCTTCAAGATTATGGGACAAGGCAACCAGCACCTGCTTGGAATGAATCTGTGATACATTAGCAAAGATACCTACCACTGAGTCATCAATACCTCATAAATGGTTAGCACAGGGGTTGTAGCTACTTTCCTGGGTGGGGAGGGCTGGGAATAACCCCAAATAGATGGGATAAACAGCTGATGAGCCACTAATGACCAGCAGGCCAACCCAGGGTCTAAATACCTCCAGCGAGCCTTTTCTGTAGGAGCCTTTCATAAATTCTCAGCAGCTTCCCTTTTCGCAACAAAGATTCCTTTTTTTTTTTCCCTTTCTCCTAGCTGCCTCACCTAATTGTCTGAAGCACATGTGAAGCAGGGAATGAACTAGGTTGAGACCATCTGAATAATATTAGCCCAGATTTCCCCATCTTCCATATTCTATCATTGTGTTTCGTAATCCATGCCCATCACATTACAGTGAATTAGGTGTGAGGGAACTATTTTGCCATTTCTTATTTGTAAAATTTTTATTTTTCAATTATAGTTCACATTCAACGTTATTTTGTATTAGTTTCAGGTGTACAGCATAGCGGTTAGACACTCGTATACTTTACAATGTGTTCCCCTACAATGTGTTCCCCACAATATTTCCAGCGCCCACCTGGCACCATACCTAGTTATCACAATATTATTGACTATGTTCTCTATGCTGTACTTTATTTACATCCCCATATTTTGCCATTTCTATCTGTTGATCTCACTTCCAGTCTGACATTGTACAGTCCCTGAGATTTTTATGAGCACGTATGAAAGCCCATGTAAATATCATCATGTTATCACTGCCCCTGCAATTACTCATCTACATGTATTCAACAAGTAAGCAATTACTGAGCACCCACCACTGCCTCCAAGGCATCGTTCTTTGGTAGGTTTCAAACCAGGAAGGAGGCAAATTCAGTTGAGTGTGATGAGGGTAGTAGTCCCGGTCAATATAGGGAAGGGGACCCAGATGAAGTGATCGGAGCAGTCCTCCTTGAGGGGGGTAGGGCTGAGTGTTAAAGGAAGAGCAAGAAGCAGCAGGCCCAAAGAAGAAAGAGGGGAGCGGGACAGCCACCTTCCTGCCTCCGCCCTCCGCCATCCCTTCCCCCAGCTTTTCACATGGAGAGAAGTCTCTGACAGGAACACCTACCTAACTTCGCTGTCCTGTCTTTTCTGAATCACAGGGAACTGCAGATGAAAGAGCGCCCCTCATACGAACCTAACTGCGGCCTGAGCATGATGAAGGAGCCGTGCTGAGCTGTCCTGACCTGGATCAGACATGGGGAAACCCTTGAGTCCTCACAGGCTTGTGCCTGCTGTAAGAGGAGGGAGAAGACCCAGAGCTAGCAAGTGATGAGAGCATTGGGCTGGAGCTTAAAGAACAGGCTGATTCATTGGCCACTAGGCTTTATCAAATCCTGTGGTCCCTGACAAAGTGTTTTGTTTTTCATGTGTCTAGCAAGTATTTAATAAACTCTTGTACAGTAAATTTTTTTGGTTGGGTGCTGGTAGCTCCAGAATTTTATGACCACTGTTGTGGTTATAATGTCTCTGCATCAGTTGTTAATGTTACTTGGTCTAACCTTATTCAATATGCATCATTCACCAGACTTTGTATTCAGAATACATAAGTACCATTTATTTGTTGTATTTCTCTATTCATGTCTCCTCCAAACGAGAAGCGAGTAAGAGTTCGGAACCCAGGGTAAAATGGTAGCCTCATTCAGTACATCACTCAAGTGCATCTAATTTCCTCTTTTAAAAAGCTATATATTGCATTTCATGCTAATTGTCAGTGCATAATTCCTCCAGGAACATGATTTGGTCCTCTAACTACTTTCATACTGGTAGGAATCAAGTGGTGAATGGGTTGGATGGAGTGAGGCACCTGTAAGTTGATAGCTATAAACACCTGAGGATTTTTTACTTGCACTTCTGTGCATTGAAAGAATGCATAGATAATAGTGGTGAGGACAGTGCAGCTATTTCATATAGAGTAGAACTAAATGCTAGTTCTGAGATTTGTGGATAGTTTGTTATTTTTTTAATCGAAATGATCTTGATGTGGACAGATACTCCTTCCTGGGAGAATGTAATAAATGATTTTCTCCCCGTCACCCTTGCTAAGTATACTATATTATCACAATATTATTGAGTGATTATTTGTAAAATTATTTATGAACATAGGAAATCCATGCATCCATAGCCTAAGTTGCACATAAATTTCAGGAAGTCTCACTACACTAAAGAGACATTTCTTTGGGGACTGTCTTTTTGGTAACTTTGAAATTGTTTTTAGAAGTTTCCTTATTTCCTCAGATTCAGTTCCTTTCACTGTTTTGTGGCTTGCTGTCAGTTGCTGAGTAAAGAAAAATGTGCCCTACGCTTCTGTGACAATCGTCTTCCTGACAGAAAAACAGTGTCTTTAAAATATTGTGCAGAAAGTTCTTTAAGGTCCTTTGCAACCAGAAGCAGAGTCATCTGTCTTCAGAAGACCTCTTGGTTTTTAGTGTAACCTAAGTCAGGGGACTGGGAACCACCATATGTCACAGAATTCAAGCATAGTGAAAGACAATTTCTTTTTATTCTCAAAGTTAAAAATTCATTTTTGATTGAGAAACCTATACTGTTATCTGGCAAAGTGCACATAGAGTTTCTTAACTGAATAATTCTACAGGATTTTTTGTTTAAAACTGAACTTCAGTGAAAGCAAATGAAGGAAAATAATGCTATGGATTTTACAAACACAGCTTCTGATCCCTGTATGGGGGTAATAAATTGCTTTAGTTTATTTGTCCCAATTTTCCCTCTCTCTCTACACTACAGCAATATGTAATATGTTTCCCTTCTTGAAGGGGCAATTCATTAAAATCTCAACATCTCTATAAATTAAAATAGAACTTATACTTACCCCAAATCAAGGAAATATGAAAAACTAAATTTTGTTTGCAATAATGCCAAATATCTAGGTTTTTTTGAATTTATCAATATTTAGATAATTGGCATATTTTTTATGCATCCACTTACTCACACTAATAAAACTGGTAAGCCAGTGCATACTTACTAGTTCACGCTATCATCAGGATATAATCATCTGTGAGAAGGAAATTTTTAAGTACCATGAATGTTCACAATTGATGATATACACCTTTAGACTGAATCCCACGCAGACAAGGAGACCAAAAACATACTATTTCCATATGATTCTTAATATAGCCACTTGGCTTAAAATCACATTTGCTATTTCCCTTCTGAGAAGTATGGCAAACCTATAAACTGCTGTCAAGATTATAGATTGGTTAAGAAAGAATGTATTACCTATTTGATTTTAGATTGAAAATAACAAACTATTCCTCATCTTCACTGTCTTGGAAAGGCCCCAAAGTCTTTGCAATTGTCACTAAATCACAGAACACCGCTGTCCTGTACTATGATACTCAACTTAGGGAAAAACCAGAGAGAGGTTACCTTACTTCTCAGGGAAAATTGGGAGTTGAACACAGGACAGGAAGTAGGCTTGGCCACTTTTAGCTCCAGACTTTTCCCCCTAGGCTCTATTTCCTCACTAATGGTCACTAATGGTCAAGTGGAACAAGTACTATGTAACTAACCCTTACTGGGATTTTTACTTAAGGGGGGCTAATTTTTTATTTACATTGCTCAAGATATGAGTTCATTATACTTGGCCCTCTGGGCATTATTACTGAGGTTAATTGCTTGTGGTTATTAAAGAGAATACTGACCTGAATGTTAATGTAGCTTGTATAGCTAGTTCATTTCATGTGATTCTTGATGTGTTTATTTCTACCCTTAATGTAATGAAGTATTTCACTAATAAAAAACATTTATATGAAACTGCACTGTAAATTATGTCATCAGATATCAAGTTGTCTATGGAGTTTTATTTGAAAGATGCCCTTTGCCTTCTTGTTTGGTGCAGGCCTGAGTCACACCCCTTGGGACACCTCTGATTTCACTTCAGTTGTAGTGGACAGTTCTAGGCAGCCAGACAAGTCCCACCTCAAGCCGGTTCTATGGTGTGCTTTTCTGCCTCAGGACTTTCTCCAGAGGGCTGGAGGCCCCTCAGGAGCATGGGGAGTTAATACCCTCAGGGACACGCTGAAACCAAAGGAGGCAGGAGTAAGCTGATAAATGTTCCAATCCTCAGAGGGACAGTGCTCAGGCTCATCCTACAGGGTTCCTCAGTTAGGATTGCCCTTGGCAGGAACTGTTTCCTGTTATCGTTTCTTAATTCCCCACCACACTCTCCTCCCCCGGCCCCTGTTGCTTCCTCCCAAATAACCTACCTGCACAGACACCCTGATTCAGGCCTGCTTCCATTACCTAGCTAATTTCTGTGATTCCACTCTCTGGTTCTTCTCTATCTCTCTGATCACTTCTTGTTGGCACTGATGTTCAGCTGCGACCTCTTCTCACTTGATACTCCCTTGCTGACGATGGTATTGAATTGCTCTGTTCAACATCAGCCTCACGTATCCAAACCACCTGATGGATAGCCTCAGCCTGGTTGTTCTCAAATCCAGCAAGGGAAGAAAGGAACTCGTTTTTTTTCTCTTCTTCTTCCCAAATTCCCAATACGGTGGAATAACATCACAATTTACCCAACTGTACAAGCCGGAAACCAGGGACTCGTGCTGGTCTCCTCCTTTCCCTTCTCTCCACGTCCAGTCAATCATCAGGTGCTTCATATGCTCCTCGGTCTCTGCTCTGGCAGTCCTCCCCGGAAATCAGAGCTCTCACTGGGACTCCTGCAATCACCACTACGAGCATTCCTTAAAATTTTGAATAGGTAAGCAATTTATGTTTTCAAAAGGCATAAAAGGAGTTTATAATGAAAAGTCTTCCTTCACCCATCTCCTAGCCACTCAATTCATCTTCCCAGAGGCAATAATTATTTTTTAAAATGTACGTTTCCAAGAAATACATATACAAGTATATTTTATCTAGCACTCTTTTTTTCACCTAGATTGTAGCATACCATATAGTGCTCTAAATTGTTTTTCCTGTAATTTACAGTTCCCATTTCATGTCTGAATAGTGTTCCTCTGTATAAATTTTACTTTGGCAAACCCGTTTGTTTCCAATAATTTGTTTTTATAAACAGTGCTGTAATGAACAGCCTTGTATTCCATAATCTTGCCAAATCATTTACAAGATAGCGTTTCGAGGTCTAAGGACATTTGTAATTTTGATACAATAGATTTTTTTATGTTTTTATTTTTATTAAAGTTATACAAGCACATAGGTTTAAGAATCAAGTAATTCTACAAGGTTTGTTATATTAAAAAACTTACAGAGATGTCATTCTCAGATGCACCACTTCTGCCTCCTGCTTTTTAAAAAATTTACTTCAATGACTATTTAACACAGTTTCTTGAATTTTCAGTTTTAGCATTACCCGTTGGATAAGGATTTGGTTCTATCCTGTCTTCATTACACACACTTATCCGCACATCTTTTCCAAGGGACTTCCCTGAGGTAGTACTTAAGAGCCCTCAGGCAGCGTGTCTCTGCCAGAGTTCCAGCATTTCGCCCAGCTGGTGTCGCTCTTCGCCACAGAAAGGCACAAAACCCCCGGAAACTACTCGGACCGCGGGCGCTCCCTCTCCAACCTCCATCCCCTACGTCTTTCCTGCGTTTCAGCCTCACAGGCTAGGCCAGAAAAGAGGCGGAACTGCGTGTTCCGGAGGACTTTCCGGCGGATCAAAAAGCGGGGTGCACCGAGTGTCGCGGGAGCACGGAACCAAAAGCTGCTCCCGCGACATGGCTTTCAACTTCGGGGCTCCCTCGGGCACCTCGGGCACCGCCGCAGCCACCGCAGCCCCCGCGGGTAAGTGATCCCCCCGGACCTTCTCTTGGGGAAGAGGGCAGGCCTCTAGCCCTCCTCGGTCCGAGACTCTCCGGCTTGGGGTTCCTGGGGTTTCCTGCCGGTGCAGAGACTTTAGGGCTTCGGAAAAGGGCGGGCGACGGCAGAACCGGCCGAGGCGGCTCCCGATGAGGCCGCGAGGGGACTCAAGGCCCAACCCGGAGCTCGCTCGCTAGGCTTGGGTCCCCGCTAGGCTCTGCGCTCCTAGGGTTCTCTTCCCGCCGCCTGGGAGTTGGAGAGACCGGAGGCGGCTACCTGTCTCCCCTCCGGAGACCCGCCCTCCCCTCCTCCTCAGCTTCCAGCAGTGGCGGGAACGCGCGCGTGGCTCCTGCTCGTGGGCCTAGGGAGTATAGGACCGGGGCACCTCGGCGTTGCCCTGCGGCTCCTTCATTCCCAGCCCCCGAGCGGATTTCCCCGGGGAACTTGACGCTCCTGCTCCGTCCTCCTGTCCCTACCTCCGCTTTCTTAACTCGTTTGGAGCAAAGTCAAGGTTTGTCTTTTGCTCACTTCTGTGAAGCTTCATGCAGACTCTTCTAATCCTATCTTGCTTTCTTTTCTTCCCTTTTCTCCTTTTAAATTTTTGTTTGTTTGTTTTCTGCCTACATGCCTATCAGGATTTGGTGGGCTTGAGACTGCCAACTCCACCGCCAGTGGGTTTAATTTTGGGGGTTTCGGATTAACTGCTAATCCTGCAGTGAACTTTAATATTGGGAATTTCGGTGTTCCTACTACTTCGGCGACTCCATTCAATTTTGGTAACAGTCTGGCAAGTGCAGGTAGATACTGCGGGTCGTATGTGTAACGAATGTTGGGAGCTGGAGTCCAAGAATATGTTGTGATTCCTAGAGTTTGGAAAAGAAACAGCGACTTGTCTAATAAGGAAAGGAAATTTATCTTCTAATGTCGAATCAATAACATTTTATCAAGTTTTGACTGCCATAAAAGACTTTGGTTTGGGGAAGTCTTGCAAGTCATAATGTTCCTTTTCTAAATTTGTATTTAATTGAACAGAATTTAACTTCCAAGTGGTAAGAATTTGGAATGGATTATTATTTTCGAGTAGAATATCTCTTCCAAATTATTAGATATCTCTTCCAAAGTAAAAACCCAGCAGTCAGGCCCATTTTCCTGGGATTCTTGGACTCCTGCAGTCACTGTTTTTTTTCCTCTCATTTTTTTCCTGCATCCTTCATTGGAATTTCATTTTATTGTCCTTGTGTTTCCCAAGAGAACAAGTCTTATACGAACAGCAGTAACTTGTCTTGTTTTTTAACCCTATAATAATAATGCATTTCTTTTTTAACTCAGCAGATAAGTGCACATTTCTATAGGATATGTACAGTAATTATAGAATCTCCAGTTCTTTTCCTGGAAAATTTACAAAATGATCCGAACACAGTTTGTTGTCAGCATTGAGTTCTAAAAGATAGGCTAGACATCTTTGCCTTCAAAAAGATAATTATGAAGATTCTACTCTCTAGATGGATTGTTTGAAGTTCATTGGAAAATTTGTGAAACACAAACTATAATGTGTGTGTATATGTTTAAATTTAAAATAGGTCTCTGTATACTTTACATACAATGACCCTATAGAAAAGTCTTGTTCCTCAGCTGCTCGTATATGAATTTATTGTCCGTATTTTCTTACATTATGCCACTTATGCCTATGCCAATTATATGCATTTGGTAAATTTTATTCCCTAAAACTTACTTGAGAAGTCTGATATTTTGTGCAGTAACTTGTTACTGTACTGTGAGTACCACCTTGGCATCTTGATTTGAAAGCATTTTGAAGACCACTTGAAAATTCCAAAATAAAATAATCCATTATCATTAAGGTATGTTTAAAGCAATCACATATTACTGTTATTTGGTATGTTTATTTTCCATTTGCTTAAAATTGGCACTGGGTAAAACAGAAACATTATTTTCAAATCTGTGTTTCCAGATAAAGCCACCCAGTTGTAATTCACCAACACTAAATAAATTTGCCGTTATTTGCTGGATTTCATGTTCATTTGGACTTATCATTGTTAAGTTTTTAGTTGTTTTGATAATATACCTTGTTTTAACTACTTTTATATGCATATGTTCATTAACTTTGCCTTCAGCAACGGGCT